GGTTGAGGCAACCATAGTCTATTTTAAAACTCCTCACCATAGACAAGTTTCCAGAACGATTGATCCCGATGCAGGATAAGTAGGCATCACGCCACCAAAAGTCCCAGCTTCACCCTCTTACGAACACCTCACCAGTATAGTAGAAAGACACCACTAGACTCCAACCAGCCGCCGGTCTCCCACTCTCCTCAAACACCCCTAGAGTGCGCCATCCGTCCATGCTGAAGATGGTATTCTCTCCATCGCATACAAGATTCCCGATGCTGATGCTAAGATAGTACTACCAGCAAGCCCCCCCCTAAACCACGCGGAACCCGACTCTCCCTCCCGCAACCACATCGTGCCATCTTGCACTCGCTCCCGCTTAGTTCAGGAGAACTCAGGGGAAAACAGGATTCTCGCTGATCGCATCGTCCTCTACCTCAGTGTCCAGCCTGCCGCCATTCCAGGAGCCGCCCGTCACACCGCCACACTTTTTTCTTTGTCTCAACCCTCGTGGGGGGGAATGTTTGATGTTTTAGCTCGGAGGGCGCCATGCCCGTTTTCCATGACCGCTTTTGTGACTTCCCGTCCGCAAGGAGCCCTAGGGACCTAACCTACTCAGATGCCTTACCAAGGGGACTAATGATGAAAGCTTTCCGACTTCGAGCCAAGATGGACACGCCACAAACGCATGTTAGTGGAGTGGCGCCGTCACCAAAAAAAAAAAAAAAAGCAGTCCGCCGTAGCGGGACTGCAAGCCTCCCAGATCCAACTATCAGACGTCGAACGGTACTACTCAATAAGCTCGAGACGAACAAAGAAGAGGAGGGAAAAACCAAGTCGTGCAACACGCTCGGCGTCCCTTGGAAATAGGGGTCTGCCTGTACACGTACCGCATCAACCGCAATGACAAAACGGGGGACCGGGAGGAATGTTGCGGACATTAGGTCGCCGCCGCCGTCAGAAACAACTTTGCACCAACGCGGACTTTGAATGGCGGCTCGGCCGGCCGGTCGATTCATACCGGTGCGGCCGTGGCGGTCTCGCCCGATGTGTTTCGCTGCTTCTGTAGCCTGGCAAGCCTGGGTAGAAGGGGAAAAGGATGTTTGAGGTCTCGGGGATGTGGGGGAGGGGAAGAACAAGACAGTCAAGGGCTCAGAGGCGAGAGAGAGATAGAGAGAGAGAAGCGAGCACGCAAAAAGACCCTGGTATTCCTGAAGCCGTCGCGGGAGACCGTGGACAGGCCCGTCGGACAATTGTTCGCCTCTAGAGGCGCAACCTGGGTGGCTCGAGACAAGGGTAACATTCGCCTAGCAATGGCGCGTGGAATCAATGTGACTGGCGAGTTTCGGATGCCTTGTTGGTTTGGGATGTGTGAACATTGTTCAAGGCATTGCGTTGGCTCACACTCTCAGACGCAAGAACGGCGGTGGAGAGCCTATTCCGGAAGCTCGTTCATCCCGACTTGATCCTGCGGCATCGGCTGGTGGTGCTGTTGCTGTTGCTGTCGCTGGCTGGCTGCTGCTGCTACTACGGGGGACCTCTACATACTGCTGCTGCGACATGGACCGGGAAATGGAAGAGTCAGGTCAGACCCGTCCGTCAGACGGGCACCAGAGCGAGCATACGGGCCCGGCTCACCGGGTGATATCGTTCGTTTCAGACATCGGTGCGGGTTGCCCTGCTCCTCCAAGGCATAGGTCGGTAGTGTCGGTAGCTGCTATGGCCGGACAATTAATGAGAAACTATCAGTCCCCGGTCCGCATGCATGGCGACATGTTTCGACCCAACTTTGGATCTTCGTATCGCATTAGCCGAGGGCTGAGGAATCGTTCATCAACAAAGTGGGCGAGGTATCCGTGAGGTCTTGGGAGCTTGGGTCCTTGGGAGCTGTTTGCCTGTGGTTGCTGCGCCCCGAAATAGAGGTCCCCTTGATAGCGAAAGCGGGGAACCCAGTCCCAAAATCCCATGCTCTCCAAGCAAGTCCAAAGTCAGTCTCAGCCCAGCAACATCCAGTGGTTCCGGGGTCGGTCAGTCAGACTGTAAGATAGATAGATACTCGAAAGAGGGGTGAAGGAAGCGTGAGAGAGGAGCTGTATCCATAGAGTAAACCCCGCCTAAGCTGACACCAAGATCCTTCGCCAGCCTTGTCATCATGACGATATCGTCAGCAGTTGCATAGCGGCGCCTCTCTTGTACCTATTGACCCTCACAACCCGGGGGTCATCTCGACGGATTCTCGGCGTCAATGATGTGATGGTATCCGTTCTTCGTAGCCGCAGAAAGAAAGAAATCGGAGTTCGTCCGTACGAGCCATGCTGAGGGATGCCGACTCCACTGAGCCCCCAAACCTGAGCTGAAGCTCCGCTCGGACGTTCCTGGTTCCTGTCCCATCAGCACGTCCCATTCGAGAACCCCGTCGTCGGTCTCTTCTTCCCCCACTACCACACCACCAAACGCCAACCTTGAACCAGGTTCGCCAACCGGACCGTCGAACCAGCTGCCAAACCGGGATGACGGCGGCTAGAGACGTCACTGCTGGAGACACCATCCTTGGGGGGAATCACGTGAACTAACACATGACTTCGCGTTGGAGCCAGGATTCGGAAACAGGGTCTGCAGGGGCCCATTGTTGACATGAATCGCGAACCCGCAGTTTGTAAACAAAGTGGCAGCCAACGAGAAAGAAGAGCGAAGAAAATTCCCCTCACTCGAGTATGAAGAGTGGCTTGTTTCCCACCCGCAGTGCAACGCGCCCGCGCCGTCAGCACCCGCTTTCGTGCTTCACCATAGCCGTACCAACGAGGACGAGACAAAGAAAGAGCTCCATAACGGCGTGAACGGCACCGTTTGTGCATTGGACTGGATCCAGGCTAGAAATGATCCTCAAACGTTCAGCCAGAGACTTTGTGAGCAGGATTTGAGCGACGTCTCTCTGCTTCTCCACGTTATCCATGGTGAGCCGCGTAAAGGATGTTTGATCGTGGCTTTGGAGGGGTCAAGGGGCAAAAGAGGGGAAGCTCAAGCAGCAACGGCTCTCTCTCTCTCTCTCTCTCTCTCTCTCTGTGCAGTGTGCGTAAGTAAAGCTGAGGAACGGGAGAGGAGGGGAAGAGGGGCACGGAGATCCGAGGGAGAGGGAGGGGGACAACGCCATCGCGGACTCTGTCACGCGGCACTGACTGCTGTGTCTATGCCGGGCATGCGACAAGGCTTGCAAACCTTCTATCAATGTCAAATCCAAGCTGAAAGTTTGGCTCTGACAGCTTTCGAGTGCAACGGGACGTCTCATTGGATTGTTTCCGATGCCAGTCTTCCCTATCATGCATGTAATCTTCAATAGCGCGAGATGGGCTCATCAATCCAAGGCATCACGGCGTGGTAGCTCCGACAGCCAAGTCTCGTGCGCGCGAATAAACAAACAAGGCGAGCCATCCAATCCTGTTTCTCGTTGGCATCCTCACTCGTTTCGGTCAAGCTTGACCGACATGCTGTCGTACGTATGAGCGACCTCCCTAGGTGATTGGCACTGTTTTTGTTGTTGATGGGGACGACGGCCGTCGTAGATGCGGCCCTGGCACTGGATCCAGTAATACCCATGGCCTTGATGCTTTGAATTGTGCAAAATGCTCCAGAAAAGAACGATGTGACCGCATAAGAATGACGGCCCGGTTAAGCAGGATCTCGATACACGACGGCGAGGCGAGCTCTCTGCCTTGGGGGAGGGGCCGCAGGCCGGGGGGCTGTTCCTGAGTCTTGACGATCACTGCCAGGCTCGACCCCGAGAGGATGACGTCTGTTTTAGAGCCGGACTAGACCGGCCAGGTGATCGGGGCGGGAGGTGCGTGATCGATGCTTTTTACATCGAGATGGCCCACGGGGGTTTCTCGCACCGCCCTCTACGCCGCCGCCCATATCTGTACCAAGTTCGGATACGCAAGCCCAACTTGTTAGCCTCATAGTCATGGATGATGGCCAGACCTTGTTTTCGCGATGTGCAATTGCTGGGTGAGACCATGTCCTGTGGCATGGGAAGATGCCTGAAGACCATGTTTTTGTTGTGCCCATTTCTTCTCGAATTTCCTTCTCGCGTCTGATGAGTCAAATCGCGATCGGGCTATATGCGTATTATCGCAACCCAATGTTTGTGCGGCATGCCTCCGTTTAGCTTATGTCAGTAATTCTCCGACCGCATTGATGGAGTGGTTGTGTTGGGGTTTCGGTCACTTCTTGGTCCTGTCCTAGCCCCCCCCCCTTCGGGATCGGGCGATGCTGGATACCGAGTCTTCGGATGATTCATCCGCATTTTGCTGTTTGAGCATCTTACACACTCTCAACACCTGCTCCAGGAGTAGGTCCCGCTGAACTGTTCGTGTTGAACCCGGGTTGGCGTGAAGCTCGTGCGATTGATAGAGCAACGCGAAAGGAGACTCATTTTGTAGTACCAGGGATGTTCTCCATGGCGCCAGGCGTAACGCCGTAGCTCCCGACTGTCGTCACAAGGTTTGAGGCGCCCTCCAGATAGTTCCAAGACGGCCCGTCAGATCAGACAAGCTCGTCAAGGCAGTTTGCGTCAGCCACTGTCAGTGATCATTTAAATTCCTCCGGCCGCCTTCACCGACGGCCAAGTGCACTTGCCTGTGCACCCGCTTGGACTTGAAGCTGACGACTCGCAATCACGACCCCAACGCCAGTCGCTAGTGCGCCAATGGCAGCTGGTGGCTTGGAATCGGGAGGATGAGTGGGCTGTGTGTAGCCTTTCGCTCGTCGTGTATCCGGACGGCAAAGTATCCGCAGACTCGTCGCGGGGTTCAAGGGCTCGGTGAATAGGGACACGACCCATAGACGATTTTTTTTTTTCTCTAACCAAGCAACCGCAGATTGGGAGCGGAACAAGACAGGGTAGGCTGGCCAATATCAACAGGGTTGATGATAGCATCGGCCCTTTAAGCGAAGTCAAGAGCTTTATGAACGTTTCGTCCATTCTTCGAAATCAAGAGCCTCATCCATTGTTGCGCAACCCCTGGCCGGATGGAATTCTTCAGTCCTATTTCGAGACCGACCAGATGACCAACTTGGTCATGCTTACAGGAAGTTTAGCCCAAAGCCGAAAGCCGGCTTGTCGATCGAGCTGATGACAGAAGACGAGCTTCCAAGAACAGTCCAAAGTAAACAAAAGGTCCCCTACAGTAAGACGACGGGCGTCTCGAGGGAGCTGGGGATGCTGCATGGCGGTCGCCAACGAGAGGGGTTCTTCTTGATTGAAACCTCTGTGCACACGGGAATATGACAAACATGCCCTTGGCCGGGCCTTGCAAGTGGAGCACTGAAGCTTCAAGCCAGGATTCTGCCGCTGCTGATGTTGTCATGTCGTCCCAGAGGAAAACGAGAGGCACGAGAGCCTGTATCATGAGCTTCTTCAACCCCACTTCGTGAGTCGTGAGTGCGTAACTCGTCCTGCAGGAAGCTGGAGCATCTCACCGTAGACAGCCGCGGTCGCCGGGGGAGCTTCGACCCTGTGGAAGCTAGGGCGGGCCGGCCAACATGGCGGAGCATCAGAAACATGGCTGTACTCTGGAAACCTGGACTGCATATGCAGTAGCTGCAGCAGCTTGACGCAGCCGGGCCATCTGTCCGCAATGCAAAGTGCAGCTCTGCATCCGAGGTCTCCATCTTCATCGACTATCCATCCAAACATATCCGTACTGCACAGTTTCTGCATCTGAGCCCGCATACGCGCATCAACTATGCAGCACATCTGCAGCCCACCGCGCGGTACTCTGTAGGCGGGGGAACATACTTGTAGTATGGGACTGGCGCCGGTCTTCGCTTGTCCCGATTCCCCCATTGCGTCTGTTGCCCCGTCGAACAAATCCACGAGACGCAGAAGGATCCAAACTGACTCTGTGTCGTTGCAAATAAACATCGGCCGCTTCTGCGACCATGTCGCAAATCGGATAACCATCATTCGACCTTCATCTCCCCAGCCGCCGGCTTCGGATCGGCCTGACCACTGAGCGAGATACACGTGCCGTTGTGCGATAAATCGATGTCTCTATCGCTGTCCCTCGATGCACGGTGCTCATTGTGGAGATGAAAGACTGAGCGTGCCGCTTCACCGCCGGCCGGTCTTAGACAGACTTTGACTGGCATCTGGCATCTGGCAGCCTTCAAGACCCGTGCCCTGAACTCTGGTGTGAGGTTTCGCGCCGTCAATTCCGCATCATTCAAATGCTTGACCAGCGCCGCTGATGTTGGCGTAGCCATTGATCACCGGGCAAGCTGCCATTCGTCCGTCTGTTCGCCAGCCAGTCAAGCCAGGTAAGCCAAGACCCAGGCCTAGACCAGCTGGATGGATCACTACCAGGGAGTCGACATGGACAACCGGGGCAGGACTCGAACTCTGTTGCGTTGCTCTGTCAGAACGCTCGTTGTCAGTCATCATCTCGGTGCATCGCCTGGTCCGGGTTTGGTGTCTGCTAATATTCCGAGCTCCAGCTCCAACCCCAGCTACCAGGCCGAGCTCGAAGCTCCAATAGAGCTCCAACAAAGCTCCCTTACTGTGTGTCTCTTTTCTCCCCAAGCTCCCAAGCTCTTACTACTCCGTACGCACCAAGCTCCATCTGTGCGTACTGTGTATCCACTTGCCTTCCGAAACAAGATGCCCTGTGAGCCAGCTGTGCCAGCGCCGCAAGAACCGTGTCTCAACGCCCACCAGACCCTGTGTTTCTGCTGTCAGCAGTGACTGATAACGAGCCAATTGCAACGCCGGTTCGGTGTGAGCAGGAGGCTCTGGCAGGTCCAAATTATTTATTCGAGGACTGCGGTCAGTTTGAGGTTTGGGTTGCACGGGACGATGTGGCAGTGATAAGCAATCCTAAGGTTCCCAGGTAGGTAACGAGAGCGGAGCCTAGCCCAACACGCACTCACATCGCACGAGACAGAAGCCGGGGCCAGGACCGGGGTCACGTACTGGGCCGATGGGCGGGGGAAAGCGAGGGATTGCCCTAGGCCTGGCTGAGAGAGTTGAGAACTTGAGGCAGAGCGGCCGAGAGCTCTGGCCAGTCGCGGTGGCGGAGATGGAGGTGAAGCCCTGCGAGCTGCCGATATCCCCTTGTCGGACCCCAGTCAAAGCCCAGCTGATCCCAGCCGATCCCACGTCTTCAGCCCAGGGCCGGCCCCGTTGGTTGCTGTGGGGAGAAGATGACGATGGGGGGTTTTACCGGGTCACTACTTCTTTTTTTTCTTTCGAATTTTCTTCCTGTCTTCGGAACCTCCTTTTGGTCGTTGCTGTACCATTGCTGAGATCCGCTTTGTGGAGGTAGGGTCTTTGGAGCAAATGGGAAAAAAAAAAAAAAAAAAAAAAAAAAAAAACTTCGCAGACATGTTCAGCTATGCCAATACTTTTAGTGTAAAGTCTCACGACGCGACTCTGTGAACTAGCCCATGTGCCAGATCTGCCATTTCTCGGCTCTCGTCGTGCGGTGCGGTAGAGGCCGAATATCTCGGCAGAGCCGGTTTTCCTGAGGCTCGGGCCCCGTTGCCTGGCCGGACAGCTGGGCCGACTAGATTCGCTTGGAGTGCATCAGGAGTGCGAGATGGAGAATACGAGCAAGGCCACCACACATGGTCGACACCCAAGTCTACGTCATTGCTGCACTTATGATTCCTGCAGCCCTGACGTTTTGACCTTCTGTGCATGTCACTGATGCGGGCCATTGGGAGGCCATCTCGAGGTCACCCAGGAATGCTCCTGTCTTGTGTATCTGTAGGAAGTGGAATGTTGAATGAGTCCGAAAAGGGTGTTACAGCCAAGGTTCTACGTCCCAAAGTAGCGAACAATTGTACTTTGCCATCTCTATTATTGACTTGTTTGTCGACAGGATATGCCTGTGGATAATTGGCGGCCAATAAGCCACTCACGAGTTTTTGGCACTTCGAACCTGAGCAAGAAAAAAAAAAAGCCTGGCAAGGCCCGTAAGCACCACGCCATTTGATTCCAACCTTGTCTCAAGCAAGACCCTTCTCGCAGGCTACGACCCGGCAACCGAAGAATGCAGCAAGGAGTCATTTAGGGCCCTGAAGTCTCACTTCAGTTTTCTGCTGAGGCCCCGAAAATGTCGTCGCCTGTGTCCGCCGCACCGGAGGTGCCTTGCAGCGGCAGCATCAAACAGGTCTGGATTCGGGCATATGCCTCCAGGGGGCGTGGTTGCTTGGTACCACCAGGTCCGAGTAGCAAGCTTGGTGTGCCGTGTGGCCTGAACGGTGAACCCAAGCTGAAGGGATGACGAGACGGGCAAGATTCGGGAGATCATGGGCGTGGGAGCCCTGTTCGAACCCGCCAGGCGTTTCCGTTTCTGCGGCTGCTGTGAGGTAGCCTTGCCAACCCTGTGTTGAACATGAGGATAGAGGTCGCGGTCCAGGGTCTTTGGACGAATGAGGATGGAAGCAGCACGATTAAGGTGCAGGAAGCGGGTGACATAAGAGGCAAGGCGGCGTCTGGTGTAATTGCTGGCTCCAGACCCTAAACGCTGGTAGGTCAAGCAGCCGGTTGCTCAGAGCAGGGGATAAAGTCAGTGTGCTGGCAGACAGGCGACAGACAGGAGAGACAAGCCGCTACTGTCTTGTCTCTGAATGCTGTGTCCGTAGCCGTATCTCTGTGAAGAAGTACATGCTCGCAAGTCCAGTGCACTGCCGAAATTTTAGGAGGTGCTCTGTAGTAAGGCACACCATGAACAGGGGACTGGTAAGTAAGGCGATACGCCAACTCACCGCTCATTTCCAGGCTCACAATGATCACTGGCGGTGGTGCTGGTGGTGAAGTGCGGCGCGGACGGCGGTGCTGAACTTGATCTGATGGTTTCCCGCGCCGGGCGATGATGTAAGTCGAGGGTCTAGGCCCACTTCTGCCAAGTGTTGTTTGCTAGTGCTGGTGGAAGAGGCATTTTGGAGAGATTTCGGAGGTGACAGTGTCCAGCTGGCAGGTCGGCTAGCATCTTGAGCAACCCCGTGGACAGTTCGAGCTGACTCTGTCGATTCGGTTCGAGGGTCGTGTGAAGGGCGCTTAGCAGTTGGCTTCCCGGATAGCCTAGCGCCAGCCTAGCGCCAGCCATCAGCCACACGGAGGCCATCGTCGACTAGATACCGTAGTTCACAGCCGGGGCGACGGTGAAGTTGGTCTTTAGTTGATAGAAGAGGGGGGAGGGGTACGAGGACGATGACCGCGGCCGTTGGGGCAAAAAGGGACGAGCGGGAGATGGCTTGCAATGGACGCATGTCGTTGCCATATGGATGGATCACGGGAGGCGCGTGTAGTTGGTCCTTTGCACGTCGTCTTTCCCTGTGCGCATCTTTTGGATCTCGGATTACAGTTCAATGGACTGGTGGTGCGGTCGTATCTACTACGTAGAGAATCCTCTGTGATTTCCCTCGGAGCTGTGCTAGAGCTGTGCTATACTCAATGTGCTGTTGTCGGCAAGGTACTCGAGTCGGACTGGCATTGGGATTGCGTCTGGCTCGTTGCACTAAGCCAAGAAGACAGTCGAAAGTTGATACCGCTTTTTGCTGGCCCCGGCGCTTCTTCGCAAATGGTACTGTCTGGCCGAAGGAAGGGAGGTCCAAATTAGTCCGATTGTCCAACAAGTGAACAAAAGTATTAGGCGGAGCGCTTACGGGCAATAAGTCGAGGCAGAGGTGCGGCATAGAGAGGCTTTGTTCGAAGGTTGGGCTGGATTGTATGAATGTTTGAGCTTGCACAGCACTAAGAGGAAACGCACAAAGCACAAAGAGCACAAAGGAAAACGTTTAATTCATTCAACGGGGTCGGAACCTCCCTTGCCTTAGGTTGGTTGTTCCTGGCTAATAGGTATAAGGGGGTAAGGTAACTGCCTTAATGGAAATGGAAGGAAAAAACTTCCATTGGATATCTTCCACTTTCCGTTTTAGAGTAGAGCCTTACACCTCAGGTTTGGCCATTACGAGGCAGGAAAGGAGTAGGTACCTTACTGTGTAATTAAGGCGAGTAAGTACCTGCCTCAATATCACTTACAGAAAAGGTATGGACACAGTATGGGCAGGTAGAGGTCTGGAGACTTCCAGGCTCCTTCTGTTGCTGTGTGGTGTGGGAGAAGGAAAGAACGTACCGCAGTCAAGTAGTGGAAGGTACCTCCCGTCACTCCGCACTCTCCTCATGGGCCCCCGTAGGTAGCCTGTAGCATCTGGGTCGGCGCCGGGTCCGCTGCACGGTTTTTCTTCTCTTCATTTTCTCTCTCCCTGCAGACGGACCACCGGGCTTCAAGACCCTTCCACTGGGCAACCCGTTCTTTTCCTTCTCTTCCGCCTCACTAAATGGGGAACAGCGGGGATCAGAAAGGGTTTTCTTGACGATTGGTATCACTATGGTCCGGGTTGCGGATCAAGCGCTGCAGCAACCGCAACGGGTCGACGGGTCGAACATCCAACGTGACACTGGTTTGATCATTGATGGCGAGTTGACTGGATCCCGTTCCGAAAGCTGCCCAGCGACCAGCTCCGGGTGTCTCCAGTTGCTCCAGTCCACGGGTGCACCGCACACCACAGACCACCCCGCGGACCACTGATGAGGGACTCAGGGACGGTATGCTATGTGCTCACAGACCAAGTTGCGGACAGAACATCAAAATCTCTTCTCGGGGAGTTTCCAATCTAACGCCAGACAGGAACATGGCCGGTCGGGTGGGTGACGACTGAGCACGAGAACCACTTTCAAAATTGAGCTTTCTGGAGACCGCCTCCGATCACTGGAGAAGAAGACCAAGACCAGACCGCACAAGGCCTCGCGCTTCTCCGTGTCAAACATATTGGCCTTCTTTGGCGCTACCGATACTACCGAGTCAACGGGTTACGGCGTCGTACCAAGGAGAGTGTGCGTACGGAGTACGTGCACTGAGCGTCGGGCCCTAAAACCTCCTAGCGACTACACTTACACGGGAAGCCCAGCACGCCAGCGAGCACGCCAGTGGAGGTTTGCTCACGTTTGGGGCGGATGGAGAGATGGAGAGAGCCCCTCGTGCCCCTGACGCCTCATCCGATAGAGCATGAACTCGACGCTCCAGGGCGAGTCGCCAGCCGCCAGCGGCCATCAGTGGGGGGATGGAACACTCAGGCGAAGCCGCTGTAAATCCGTCAATTGTTGCGGCAACCGCCTGTAAGGAGGGGGAAAGTTTTTCAGGGGATTGGTGCCAAAGTCGAGGCCCCTGTCCGCCGCAACGGCGTTGTTGGGTGCCTGAGTCGTCGAGGGATGTTCGTGGAGTCCAATTCAGCTCCTCCTCCCCCTGAGGGTCACCAGCTAGGAGGGTGGGAGGCCCAATTACAGCGTTGGTATTCGTACGGCTTCACGTACGGCGTCAGGTACCTCGTGGGAAGACAGGGCGAATGTGGGCGCGGGCGTGGTTCATGTCGGTAATGCTGGGTGGATTTGGGGGTGTGTGCCTGGAAGAGACATGTGGACGGATACCTACCTACCTGTGTGTATTCCTCGCAGATGTGGTGCCTGTCACTGGTCAGTCTTCTCCAATCTCAGCATGGCGGCGAGATGAGGAATTACTCGTACCTGCTTTTGGGGGGGCCATGACTTACTGGATGAAAATGCTTGTGCTGGCTCTAGCTGCTTGTGCTGTGCATCGGATCCGAGGGGCACCACAAGGGCAAAGCTGGAAGCGCATTGGCTGAGGCCTGGCGGAATTTGGTGCGATTGGCACGATTTTGCTCGATTTCCTCATCGTCTTGCTGCACAGCACAGATAACCTTTTTGCTGTTGCGCATTACCTAAGTTATGCCCGCTCGCGGCTTTTCCAAGGCAAGGCACCGACGAGCTGGAAGGAAGCTGAGGGGAGAAAGTCACAACCCTGCCCTGCTTCTACGGTACGTATCTCGAGCCACGTGCTCTTTGGCTCGGGTCGTTCTCATGAGCCTTGCCTCTGCCTTGGAAGCTTCTGCCGTCCGACCATTTGTTTTTATTCTGGAAGACTGACAATCGATCGATGGTTACCTCCGAGAGAGAGAACCAGGCGACGCAGGGCAGCGGGAGAGAAAGCAAGATATTCTCAGCTCAATGACCACACACACACACACACACACACACATAGATTGTTCCTTGGCAACGTGTAAAGTGGGGGGAAAGAAGAGTACGAGGAAGAGGAAAAAAAAAAAAGGTACGCTAGAATAAGGTGCGGATGTATTACCAGGAATGGCCCTGTGTAAATGGCCAGCAAAGTCCCAGAGAAGGACCGTAGACGAGAGACAGACAGGGCCATGCCATGTTTCTTACGTCCAATGAGCATCAGGTTGAGGTAAGGTAGTGTGGGAGTGTACCTTGTGCAGCGCATCGATGCAAGCTGGCTGCATCATCATTTACTCAGTGACAGACAGTCAGAGACAAGTCGAGATAGAGCGAGAGACATACATCACACAGACGCCGAGAGAGAGGGAAAAGATGCAAGCCCAGACTGCAACTGGCAAACGGCGGAAAGCAAGTAGAGAGCCACACAGAGCCTAGAGGCAAGGCAGAGACACATGGGATCCATCCATCTGCATCTTTGGTGTCTGCATCTCCATCTGGTGCATACACCTCCCTGTCGTCGCCGTCCACCCAGAAGCTCTGATGCAGCTGCAAGTGCGCAGTAGCTGCAGCAGCAACCAAATCTCCCCTGACAACCAAGTTCAAAGTTGACTTTCAAGTCGCGGTAGGGGAGGAGGGGGAGCACAGGTTTACGCGCAGAGACAGAAAGATCACCAAGGAGGCTCCACGACGAGGAGGGGGGGATGTCCCATCGCGAAAAACGGTACGTACTCCGTGCTGGCTGTCAGATACGTACTTGGAGAAGTAGGTACGTATCTATGAGAGAGAGAATGACGGTACGTACAGACAGCCATGTACCGCCCCCTTGGTCGTTTCTCTCTACACTACCTTATCCGCACCTTGGCTTCACTACTACGTAAGGTATCCGTAGTCTGGGCTGGTCCCCCCCGTTTGGCGCTTCCCTGTTCTAGTGTGTGGTTCTGGAGCTGATGGCTCATGTCATGGCTGGGGGGGAGTTAGTACCTGGTTCTGGCGCTGGTTGCTGGTTGCTGGTTGCTCAGAGAGAGAAGTCCAGCATCGGACATGGCATCCAATGTCGTAAGGCCAGGCCAGGCCAGGCCAGGTATCCGTACGCAGTAGAGAGCAGGGCAGGGAAGGGCAAGGCAAGAAGCGAGACGAGGCGAGCAATTCTGGAGACAATACATACATGGAAGAGATACTTTGTATATCTGTATAATGTGAAGTACTGAAAGTTGCGTAGGAGGAGTAAAAGAGTGGAGGGATATCGTCGGCGGTTGCAGTGTGCAGTGCATGACTGCTATGCTGGTGCTTATGATGTCTCTCTCTCTCTCTCTCTCTCTCTCTCTCTCTCGTTCTGTACACAATAGCAATACCTACCTTTCCTTCATACGAAGAGTACGAATACTGTATGGATGCTTAGTCCCGGCATGTCATCTTGTACCCGTTCCTGTCTCGTTCCTGGTGGTTCCTGTTCCAGCTTTTCCAGCTCCAGTCGTGCGGCTTGCCCATCCATCTTGACCATCCTGGGCTAGCAACAACTGACAGTGACATCCCCATCCCAGTCAAGTCTCAATCCACCCCGTCGAGTTGCCTTCCTGGACCTGGTTCAAGTTTCCATCCACACACCCTCTCTCTTGTCTCTGTCGGTCTCTCTCCCGTCTGCCGTTGTCGTCGTTCTCTGGCTGGCGTCTCTCTGTCTGGTCGTCGCTAATACTCTCTTCCCAGTCGGCTACGCAAAGTAGTGGTAATGGTGGTGGTAGTAGTAGTAGCACCGTTGCTGTGTGCGGCGTATGCCTTGGTCCATCCCATCCACATCCCATCCGGACTCCAGACTCCAGAGAGGGTGAGCCTGGTCCTGCTTCTGGTTGCTTGGTTGCTGCTTCTTGTCCCATCCTGTCTTCCTGGTCCACCCCCCATCCCATCCCAGGTAATCCCATCCCATCCTATCCCCAATTCCGTCACACACACCTCACGGCTTGCACACCACACCTCTCACACACCACACACCATGATCCATGGTCCATGGTTCCAGAGACTCAGAAACACACACCCAGTTCACATCCCATCCCATCCCATCCCAAATCCATATCCATACTTTGGCTCACCACCAGTCAACCATACACACACACACACACCACACCTTCATTCAAAAACCTCTAGTCTCCTCTTTCTTCCGACCTCTTCCCTCCCTCTCTCTCTTCTTTCCCCCCCCATCCCCGACCATAACCACCAACGGTCCGACGGTACGGTAGGTTTAGAGAGTTACGGATACCTTTATTCTTAGGTTCATCAGAGAGGTTCAGTTCGAGGAATCTACCCAGGTGTCCAGGTCTCCAAGGTCCAGCCATTCTCTACAGCTTATCGTACTCAACGTGCACCCCCAATCCACCACACCCACCAGCAACCACCACCGCCAACATCTCACGCTCACGGACTACACTATCCCGCCCTCCCATCGTATCGCATAAACCCGTTTTCTGTCGTCGACTACCACCATCGTAAACTCAACTCGACGCCGCCCTTTCTGTTGGCCAGTCCACACACCCAGGAAGAACCACCAAAACCAAAAACTCAACTCACGACTCTTTTCTTCTCTGATTTTTCATCTTTCTCGTTGTTTGCTCTTTCTGCATCTGTTACTGCTGTCCCCCCTTCGTTGGGCATTGTTGGTATCAGGAAGAAGAAGAAGAAGACGGACAAGAACGAAGCAAAAAGAACAAGAGAAGAAGAGGAAATCAAGACTAAGGCTAGACGCTTGGGAGAAATTACTTGACGTTTTTCTCTTTCCCCGTCCCTGCGCCGGCACTAGATAACCCCAAAGGCATTGCACTCGTTTTTCTGTCATTGCTTGTCCGGTGCTACTGCTGTACACTCGGATCTTCGCCTTCTGTCGCTACTCAGAAACCAGCAAACCAGTCCTCTCACTGCCAAAGACACACACACACACACACGCACACGCTGCATCTGCGTCCTGCATCGTCTTTGCATTCCTTCCTGCTGCTCGGCCACCGAAAAAGTGTAGCTCGAGCGAAGAACTAAAAAGGGTCGTAGCCTCCGAAACGCACCTCACCTCGACACCGACGCCGCACTGCAGCTCCCGCACCGCACCGCATTGCTTTGCTCCTGCTCCGGCACCAAGGATTCAGTTTCTTTTCGGTTGCGCCCTTTCTTCGTTTTTTCGAGAAAGACGTTCCATGCAAAAGGCGCCTCGCTCCCACCTCCAACCACCCGCCCACCTTTGTTCCCTTGCACCACCCAAGGCCCATCGTGGACCTCCGGCCTCTTTCGCCCCCCACTCCCCAAGAGTTAGAGACGCCGCCAACGACCTCGAACTCGACTTCGACTTCGACTTCGACCTCGACCGAGATTCCCTGGGAGGAAGAAGAATACGTTTCATGACTCGAGGAGAAATAGGACGGATTTTATTTCATCCTACGGGTATTCCAATGTTGCTTGCTTCGACGCAATAACGAACGGCCAGTCTTTTTCGATCCCAGCTGCATTCTGCACGCACCCTTCCGAAAAACCTCACCCGCCGCCGCGAATTCCCACCCATCTCCGCCAAGCCAACATCGACGCTCGATTCGACATCGAATAAGCCTGCATCACCACCACCCCCGATTCATACTCGCCGCGACGTCTTGTTTCCCTCTCTCTATTGAGTAGGCAACGAATAAAATAGAAATTCATCTTAGGATTTGCCGCAACATTCGTTTATTGCGGCCTCTTCTTAACGATCGTCCCTCTTTTTTCGTCACGACATATCGAGTATCGTCTTGGACGCAGCACTCACACCAAAATACCCAACACCACTAACACCAACCACCACACCCAACAAATACTTTTCGCTCCCGACGATCGCTCTCGACAACCACCCGCAATCATGGAGGCCTCATCACCATTGGCGGCTATGCACCGTCCCATGGCAGTTCCTTCATGGGGAAACAAAGATCTTTTCCGTCCTCGTCCCAACACCTTCGCCGGTGCTGTACCCATCAGTCTGCGCGAACACCTTCACAGGCCCGACAACTACTTCAACGTCAAGGACGTTCATGGGTCCTCGCCTGCTGCTAGCTTGGCCGCCGATCTCTCTCAGAACTTCCGTCTGGACACCGAAGCGAGGTACGATGGCGTGCATTCAATGCATTTTGGAAAACCAGTCCAGCTAATAACGTCCCATCTAGTCCCAAGTTCCCCACACCTCGTCGTGCCTTGTTCACATCAAACATGATGGGTGATGCGGATTCCTACGGTAAGTTGTTCTTTGGGTTGCAGCGGAAAAGAGAAAAAAAAAGGACGGGGAAGCTGATGTGAGACCAGAATACGTGACTACGCCTCCTCTGCCTGAATCGTCACCTGCCCACGACTTGATGGATGTCTCGCCGTTGCCGCACAAGCTCCCGTTCATGACCCAGATCGCGATAACGTCACCGACCCCGGGATCAACCCCAACCGGCGAGGACGACGAAATGATGTTGGATTCGCCCGCCCCCATTCCTCGGCAGGCGTCGTTGGAGCCACCCAAGCCACTGGTAGCCGAGTAAGTTTGATTGCCACATTCCTCCTAGCTCAAGGGGTCGCGTCTAACACCAGGGGCAGACGGAGAAAGCCAGCTTTGCGCCGGCCTTCCTTGACTCGGATGAAAGGCTACTCGACTAGTGGCGTTCCCGGCCGTTCCAACACAGACACCCAGCTCCCCACTTTCAGATTTGGTGAGAATCGCTTGACGCATATGAACAGCGCAATGTCCCTGGGAGAATGCTTCGATGCCACATCACCTCCTCAAGAACGACGACCTCAGACTGCGAATAGCCCTACTCCTGCCGTGCCTGGTGCCATTCGTCCTCGTCCTCAGTTCTCCAGCCTCTCTGGTAACCGCAACAGCCCTTTTGGCAACGGTCACAGCCGTCGCCCTTCCAATCCCTTTATGCGTCCCCGCAAGCAGTTCCGTCGCTCTTTGAGCATGTTCGAGCACCCTGGCGATGTCGTCAAGGCAAAGTCAGAAGGCGGCGACTCCTCGCCAACTACCCCCGAATCTGTTACCAGCATGGATGCCGATGATGTGCAGGAGCCCCTCCTGCCTCACTTCCTCGCCGATGACCCCACCGACACCATTCCCAGGATAACAAAGGCTACCATGATTGATCTCTTGGACGGAAAGTACAGTGATAAGTTCGACCAGAAGATGATCATTGACTGCCGTTTCGAGTACGAGTACGATGGAGGACACATTGACGGAGCTGTCAACTACAACAGCAAGGACCTCCTCGCCTCCCAACTGATCCAGCACCCCATGCAAGGAAGAACAATCCTCATCTTCCACTGCGAATACTCTGCGCACCGCGCCCCCATGATGGCTCGCCATATCCGCTCCGAGGACCGGACTGTCAACGCGGAGCACTACCCGCGACTCACATACCCTGACGTGTATATTCTTGAAGGAGGATACAGCGGCTTCTTCGCCGAGCACCGTTGCCGTTGCTATCCCCAAAACTACGTGGAAATGTCGGACGAAGCTCACCAGCGCACCTGCGAACGCGAACTTGGCCGCCTTAAGAACCCTCGCAAGGGGTTCGGCAGAGCGCAAACGTTTGCCTTTGGCTCGCGCGACTCTTGCGTAGACCAATCACCCACTGCACCCGCGCGCCCCAGTAGCCTGAGACCCAGCATCAGCTTCCGACAAGATCCCATCGCCATGATTGGCAACTCTCCAATCCTCGGCGAACGATGCCATGCACGACGCATGGCGTCTTACTAGCACGTACATATTTGCGCACCCCTCCCACCCACTGTCTGCTGCACATTGTGGAGGGGTCATCTCCTTGCTTGGCAAGGGGGGAAGATCGAGGTCACCGCAGACCTCGAAGCTGTCCATTGCTTTGTCGACTATTTTGCTCGACATCCCTAATAGGGCGAACCACAGCAGCCTGATTGTCGATGTTTTTTCGCGTCTCTTCCTGCACATGTTCAACAAAATCCCCTATTCGATTCGACTGCCTATATTCCGCCCTTAACCAATCCGGACTACACAGCAGCTTACGCTCACGGCCGCGATGACTTCAAACATTACGCTAATAGAACTTGTTATGAGCCTCGTTCTGCAACTTGAACATACAACAAAACCAACAACCCGGCATTAGACGCATTTGGCATACTTGTCCCCGCATCGCCTCGATATGGTTGTTCGGAGTCCACTTTGGATCTGGCATCTTGGGGTGGCTCCCTGTCGGCATTTTACAGCATTGTCCTCGGTTTTTTGTTTCTTTTTCCTTTGTCAAAAGACTTCTGCATTCCGCCGAGGAGGATGGTCCAACATACACACACACAAACACACGACAACACCGCTTGTCTGTCTCCACAGATTCGGACGCGGGAGCATTTCAGTATGACGTCTCGGTCTGTCTGCTCTCTGTCGGAAACTCCATATATCCTCGGAGCATTATTTCGGACCAGCATCCCCTCGGCGGACCCTTTTTCCTTTGTGCACAACTCGGTCCATTGACCATCTTCACCTGATACCACACACTTTTCTATCCACACGCCGGAATACCCGACATCCTTGTCATCGGATGACACTCACAGACCTCTCGACACCCCGTTCCCTTTACATTTTTTCAAAACAAAAAAGCCCCACGGACCTTTTTTTCTCCGATGGCTGAGCTTATGGAGGACTCCACCTCCTTGTGTATATTGTAGGAGTAGCTGCGACAGACGCATGCAAGGAGCGGAGAAGCTATCACAGTGGATGAAAAGCAGTTGCTTGGGAATGCCTTGTAATATTGGCCAACGGGGGAGATGGCAACTGCAAGCTTGGAAGCTGGATTGGTGCAATACCGGCATGGGTGAATCCATCGCCTCTTTCTGTACAGTACTGGCGATGCAAAAGAAAAAAATTGCCAAACCAAACACCAATGGTTCCATGGTCGAATCCATTGTGGGCTAGCTCATAACAATTGAATGAAAATACACACAAACAATCAAATTAAAACACGCTCATCATTGCTTGGACTCGTGGGACACGTGCTCAAGGCGCGGCTGTGATGGTGTATGCGCGTGTGTATGCGCGAGCGCGTTTGTCTGAGCCTCTTCTCCCAAGTCAAGTCCCGATGATTAGCAAGGCCCGTTGAGATCGCACCGGCTGATGGGCTGGATGTCTGTGCGAGTTCGAGGTCCGAGGTCTTGTTGTTCGTCCCGACTTGTGGATAATAGTGTTTCGAAACTTGGGGGGCCCGGGTCCCGAGTTCTCTTCCCCCACGGACGTCAGGATGATCAGGAGTACCCCCGCAAGAACCCCGTTTTGTTTCTTTTTAGACTTCGTATTGAGGCTCTCTCTCTCTTTACTCTTAGAAGGAGAAGGGACGGACCCCAGCCTGTCCTTGTTCTCTATTTGTGCAGGGAAGGTCCCGTGACGCGAAGCCCGTCCCAGTTTCACGATTCAACGTCAGCTTTGACTGGTGTCGGCTTTTCCTTGACCTGAAGCGATGTTGAGGTTTCCTGTGACATTGTTGGTGTGTTTGCCTCGACCCCATGTCTAGCACTCTAGATGGCAGTTGGCACATCAGTCGGACTCTATCCCCCCTCCCCCCAAATGACTGGTGAAGCTTGAGGGATGACGTTCGTGGGTTTGGTGGTATGATGCAACTGAGCCTCATGGGGAACTTCCCAAGCGTCTAGTATTGCTATTGTGGCTCAGGCCCCTTTCCCATGTCCCGAAGCTAAGGTCGGAAGTTTACGTCTTAGTCGATACGTAGTCTCCGCGCTAGGATCTCTCTTTTTCTGTTGTTCTTTCTGTTGGCGGTTTAGAAGACCTATTGTTAGAGTCTTTTGGTTTGGTTGTTTTGGCTTTCCGTGTCCATGTCGCGTGTCTTTTGAGGCGAGGTGAGGTAAGGTAAGGGGGGACTTTGAGTCTGGGTGTTGATTGTTCTGTTGAATGTTCTAGCGTGGAAGGGTGGCTTTGTTCTCTCTTTCTTGTTTGGCCCCCCTTTTCCCCTTATCCTTCCGCTGTTTGATCTACCGTCTTGGTTCTTAATTTGGGAAGGGTGTCAAGATGTGGCTTTCCTCGAACCGGGGGGGGGGTCAAGCACGCGAGCGAAGGTGACGCAGGTTTAACGGTATTTCTTCATTCATTGATACGATTGTTTCCTACAGAAGAATGGAGAAGATGGGTCTCTTGGAGAATTCTTCGGGGGAGTAGTAATTATGGGATGAGTAGGGAGAGTCTCGACCGGACCTGGAGCTTAAGATGCTGGGCCCATTCGGTTCGCTCTATTGTGATACTCTCGGAACCGGGAATTCAAAGAGATGAAGAGAGACACAATGCAAATTAGGCGTAGGCACCTTTCCTTTCCCCCACCCTATCCAGTTGAGAAAGCACGCGGTGTGTTTGGCCGTTTCCGGCCAAGTTTTTTGACGTGTCGTGTCATGGTCAAGACTCGGTACGCACGACTCATAAACAGAACTATGCTCTAAGCAAACTTAGCGTCCGCTCAACGATGGGAGAACGACAAGTAAGAAATCCGAGCTTAGAAGCCGGCGGACACGTTTTGGTGGTGCGTCGCAGCGTACTATTGTTTGAAGCCATATGGGGGGATAAGCCAGTAAGCAAGAGAAACTAACAAGCCGCTCAGCAGCTTTTCTTCTGTTTCAATGGTTTTCCTTTGTCCCTTTCGTACTACGGACTCGCGCTGGGGGAGAGAATATCTACCTAGGCACGTGCTAGGTTAGCATCTAGCACCGACTAAGAAGAAGGGCGGCTTCGTGTCCCAAGGTTTCGACTTGTTTTTTTCCCGAATAGGAAAGCTCACCGAAGGGTTGGAGAAGGATGGAAAAAGAAGAAAGACGTTTTGCACCGGGCATTGGGACTGTTTGTTTTGGTTTGTTTGGTTCTTTGTGGCTTTTTTTTTTGAGCCGCTTCTCCCTTGCTTGGTGGCCCGGACGGGTCTCGTCAGTGGCTGTTTTTCCACCCCTCCCCTCTTGGGAAAAGCGAGTCCAAGCGAGGCCAGGAACTTCTTCGGGAAAGAGTTCAGCCACTCCGTTGTGGTTTACATTCCTCTCGAGTCTCGAGTGAGACTTTTGTCTCAGAGGCAGGAAATACCGTATTCAACTATCAGGCTATTGAAGTGAGTGCGGATGGGGCTACGGTGAGAGAGTCAATCCTTGTATGTGAAGACTTTCGTTGTCTACTCCTCATTACCGAGGGTTCTCATCTCAAGCTGGGTCTTTGTTTGTTTTGATCTTGAGCCGTGGAAGGTACCCGGTTTATGAATTAGGTCTGTTGTTTCCACTTCTCTGTTGCAACACTGCAAGGTAGGGTATCATACTCGGAATTCAGTCCCCAGCTGGATAGGCAACTTTGATCATTTCGGGAAGTTGAATAGCCTTGGCCATCTCAGTTGAATGTCACCGTGTCTCGAAGCTTATCCCGTCCAAGGCTAGAAACTTGAGAAATGGGGGAAAGTGGTTAAACGGTGAGAGAGGAGGGCTCAAAAAGAAAAAGAAAGGTCTTGGTCTCAAGCTCCCTTGCGGATTTGTCCCGGACAATCTCCACGTACTTAGGTACCTATACGAATGCTAGAGGAGGCAACAGGGGTCTTCTCCGCCACGGCAAAGACGGTCTTGCAAGGGAGAAGCTTATTTCAGGCCGAGAAGAAGACTTACATATTATTTCTTCTTCAGAAAAGAAAAAAATTGCCGGCCAGGTGGGGGGTTTAATGAGGTACTACGGTTGCTATGTTGCATCGCTGCATCGTTGGCTTCATCGTAAATTCGGAAGATGATCTCAGGGAGATTGGGATCCGTGATGGGATTCACGACTCGAACCACACGCCTTGGAGGAATGAACAGAGATGAGATTTGACGAGGGCACACGAATGGTGAAAACGATTCAGAAAACTTTGGGAAGCCTAATATGCCTGTGTCTATGAAGGTTGAAAGTAGCCCCTAAACGATGAAGCCATGTATGTACCTTTGCCCAATATCCCCAGTTCGAAAGAAGATATGGATAGATCTGCTCCTCATGATATGCCTCCGCTCGTGTAAAAAGCAAAGTTGGAAAGCCAAATGACAACCTCTCCCCACTACCGATCTGCTTATGTAGCAAAAATATGCAGGTTACCTGGGTATCCCCCAAACGCCGCCCATGCCAAATGCCATGCCAGAAAAACGATGTAATCATGCTCAAACTTGTCACGCGTCCCGACGTCGCCTCGATGTGTGCTGTACGCCTTCCTCACTGAAGCGCAAAATCCCATTCCTTGAAAGCCTCGCGGAGAGCTGCCACGTCCTTCTCCTCGTCCTCCTTGGTTTGCGTGCAATCCTGCCAGACGAAACGCTTCTCGAGACCGAGGAGCTTCGCCACAACCTTGCGCGGGTACTGCAGGTCGAAGCGCATGTTGGGATCGAGCTTCATGACGAGACTAGAGCCCTTAATCCTGTCTTCGCCATCGTCTGCCCAGATCCAGATGCGGAAGTAGTCACCAAAGTCAGCCTGGTCCTCGTACGAGATCTCGCGGCTCTCGAACTCGGGATACTTGAGATTCTCAGCCTCAACGCGGAAGCCGGCCTCAGCAAGACCCTTGTAAACAAAGTCTGCGGGAATGGGATGGAACTGCCAGTGGGCGTGAATGTTGCGGCCGCGGCTGATTTCCCAGGTGATGGCACCCAGCTTGCGGTTCGACTTCGTCGAGACCATGGCCTGAAGGGCCTCGCGAAAACGGGTCATCTCCTTGTGGGTCTTCTCCGCCTCCTCGGGAGCGTAGTTCTCGACGCCAGAGTGGTGAACGGTCGGTGTATGCGCCAGCGGCGTGATGATGACGTGGCCAGGGAAGTTGATACCGTGCTCCTGAAAGGTCTGGGAGGTGGCTAGAGGGCCCTTGGCAGTAGCAAGATAGCTGTCTTCGCCGATGGTGCAGACCATGTGGGTATCGAGGTTGGGGTTGCTCAAGCAGAAGAAGCACCGGTCCGGGCCGGGAGGAGGTGATTGACGTCGGCGCTTGTTTCCGCGGCGGTGATGGCGGCCATCGTCGTCTCCGTTGGCGAAGCGGCTGTAGGAGCCCTCGTCCTGCGCCCGCCTCTTTGGCTTTCTCTGGCTGAACGGCGTAAAGGTGGCGTTGGCGGGTTTCTCGACATTGGTCTCGTTGAGAGTGATTGTGAATGCATACAGCGCCTTCGCCTTGGTCGAATTTCCGTAGGGGGCCATCGAGATGAAGCGAGTCACCGCCGCGTCCTCTGCGCCTTCCTCAAGAGGGTGCACGAAAGGCTCTCGCTCGTAGAAGAACTCGGTGGGCGAAGAGGAAAAGTGGTATCGGGGTTTGAGGGTGGCACACAGCTCAGCAACTTCAGCCGTGCTCTCAATCGCTGCCTGGTTCTCCGGGACAAGCGCGACCTTGGACCCTGTCCAGACACTAGCTGGCCAGATGGTCGTGAGTAAGATGTCTGCCTTATTCGCTCCCTTTAGCGATTTAGCATCATCCGCGGTGTGGTACGGAAGGTGCTGCTCCTTCGACTGTCCGCCGACCACATCTTTGTCGAATTTCCCGCCGAGTGCGACAATTCTAACTCCCTCTGACGTCTTTGTGATGCTTCGTTTTCCGAGGAAGTGGAGGTTCTCGCAGATTTCCTCGTCGGCTTCGATCTTGGCAATGATCTTCGGAGGAAGGGGCGCTGTACCGACAGTGAAGTAGACAGGAAGGGGAACCTTCAGTTCGCCGCTGAGAATTGAATCAACCGTGCTATCGTCGTCGCTGCCAAACAAATTGCCTGTGACAATGGCAAAGCTGAAGCTGTTCTTGGCGTGAAGGGTCGCGAGCTTCGTGAAGGCAGGCAGCAGCGAGCCATTGAGGCTTCCCAAAACGATTCTGAGAGCTTTGATTAGTATGGATCTTTGCGCATTTTAGTTAGGTGAGTCGCGTGCTACTTACACCTTGGGTGCAGCCATCTCGCCTCTAGACTTTCGGGTGTAGGAATTGGAGGCTGGGTGGCTGAGGTTGTTGGAGGAAGCTTGGAGTTGAAGATGAATGCGACAGGGCAGGAAGATGCGCGCGACGAAAGTAATATGGGCCCTGTATATCCAAGCTCAACTATTGGACGGGACCCACTAATGATACAGCTTATCAGTTTATCGCAATCGGCCGACCTTTTGCCGACAGAAAAAAAGTTCAATTTTCTGGCTGAGCTACAAACGAGTTGGCGGGGAACTTTTTTTCGCGATCAAGCAGTGAAGCTGGGAGGCGATCACGACGGGTTTTTGCACACCACACCTGTCTAACCGCCTAACATGCCTTCCACTTCATCAGGGCGGATCACAAAGTCCCGAAAGGGCAAGAACTCGACTCCTCACCAAAAGAACCACCGGTGGGAGTCCTTCGCAACCAAAATCGCGAAACTCAACGCACTTGATCCTCTGCGAAAAGTCCGCCGACACGACCTCGAAGCCGAAGACCTCGAATCCACAACCTCCTACTTCCGAACCGGCCTGCAGAAATGGTCGGAACTTAATATCTACAAAGGCTTTTACGACTTGAAGACGAAAGCATGGTACATGAGCGAGAGTCTGGCCCAAATTCTGCACTTCGAAGAGAAGATCTTCGATCTGTTAGCCGAGGCGCTGGCGAAGCAGGATAAGGAGATGCTAGAGCCGGTCCTGGAACTCCTCACAGCCTTCGCGCATGATATTGGAACTAGGTTCGAAAAGTATTATGCAAAGTCTCTGGATCTCATTGTTGCCATCGCCGCCAAGCCGCAGGACGCCGACGTTATCGAATGGACCTTTGCAGCGCTGGCTTTCCTGTTCAAATACCTCTCGAGGCTAATTGTGCCAAATCTGCGACCAACATACGATGTCGTGGCGCCGCTCTTGGGAAAGACTCGCCATCCTCCTCACATTGCCCGTTTCTCCGCCGAGGCTTTGAGTTTTCTGATCAAGAAGGCTGCCGCGCCTGGAAACCGAGAGACCTCCCTCACCGCAATCGTCACCCACGCAAGAGACGACCTCCGAAGCACCGTCGGCGAACGCTCATTCCAATTGTACCAAGATGGTCTCATGACCATGTTCACCGAGGCCATGAAGGGCCCCGGCCAGACCATTCACTCGACCGGGCCGGCCGTATTTGTGTCTCTCATCAACGCGATACCTGAGACGGAAGCCGATCTCGCGCACACTACAACCTGGACCGACTTGGTATGCGGTGTTCTGACCAGTATTATCCACCACTCCAACGATAAGGACCTTGTTGTCGTACTCGAGGCGATTCAGGAGCAAGTGAAGGCGGCATTGAACGAAGCCAAGCCAAGCAAGGCTTGGAAGTTTGTCCCGTTGATCAGGGTTCTTGGGACAGCCGCTGGTGTTCGCCACGGAAACCGAGTCAGCAACTGGCCCGTTCTCGTTGAGAATCTGACCGCCATGCTTGACTCAATGGCACAAAACGCCCCTGAGGTGACAGAAGATAAGCTGAATCTTGTATGGAAACATGTCATCGTTCCTGCTGCGATTGTCTGGCATCAAGCACCAATTGATGCCCTCATCCCCTGCATCAAGGATTTCATGAATGCACTCCAGAGGGAGAGGCTCATGAGGTGGTACATCCCCTTTTGTGCTTACTTCTCCAACCTTGACTCGACACGATTCCGGAGTATATTCCAGACATACTTTCAAAGGTATGTGCCACCACTCAGCCACAAAACTTGTCGAAGCTAACCAGACTTAGATTTATCGTCAGTCACTGGTCCGACGGTCAAAACGAAGACATGTTGTGTGTACTCCTGCCCCGCATGGTGCAAAACGGGAGTCTACCTTCGCCAGGAGCAAAGGAGACTTGCAATCTCCCGCGCAGCTGGCAGGACCAGATCGTGTCAAAGTTTGAGCGCCTCGAAAGTACCCCCTTCCCCGAGCGCGGAGCGTATGATAAGGATCCTCAAACGTGGAGAGACAGATGCTTGCCAAAGTACTCTGCCTTATTGGATCTCCTTTTCTCGACGACCGTTCACCCCTCAGCCAACGCGAAGATTGCGGAACTCCTACTTCGGAAACTGAGGCTGGCACTCAAGCCTTCAACCACACTGGCATCAGACGAGGTTCACTTCAGCATCAGCCAGGGTTTCCACGCGTACTTGCGAATGAGTAAGGCGGCGGGCCCGGTTGATCCAGCCTTAGACCCGCTCCTACGTGCTGCTCTTCCCAGGTTCAGCCGTTCGGTGGGCTTCTTGGAGGCGTATCTCACCTATACTGAGCTCACACGAAACCAACCGCCTCCCGTCGATCGTCAGAGCAGTGATAGCAGTGAGGGCTCAGAAGAGGATCCGGTTGTTGAGGCCCTTATCGAAAACCTCTCGGCCCCTTCGCAGGAACTTCGTCTCGCATCTCTAAAGATCCTCCAGCAATTCGAATCACTTCCCGATGAACACCAATGTCTCACCCTCATGGTGGACATCGGACTTACGCCTCTGGAGCCTGCCACCCTGAGAAACATCGCAATGCATCTTCGCAAACTCGGCCAGAACTACTCACAATTGACCGAGAACTCATGGCTTCTCAAGGCGATTCCCTCCTTCATGTTCGGTATGTTGACAGTTAAGCTCTCCCCATTGTGGGACGACACCATCACAGCCTTGAAGCTGGTTGGCTCTATCAAAGCTGGCGAAGAGGCCATCGCGACAACCGCTTTGAGTTGGTTGGAGACTCCTTCTCCGAGATGGTCTGGACCAGTCAGCCAGCCCACACTCCAGGGTCGTCAGGCCACCACCGACTTTGATTGCCTTCACGTGCAAAAGCTCTTGAGCATGGCGGATGAGATGGAGCAGGTTGTGAACAACGCCATCGATCTCATGCTGCAGTCATTTGACAAGCAGCAAGAGACTATTGATGCTCACGCAGTCAATGCTAGAGCACAGGCACTCAAGGTGCTCACTGGCATGCCTCACTTTGCCGAGAAGCGTTCTCGCAAACTCGTACCCTTCTTCCTGGCTTGGGCTGCCGTTGACGAAGACAACTCGTCAGAAAGCCAAGAGGACGAGGACGCTGAGATCAAGGGCGAAGACTGGAACCTTCAAGATCGCAAGGGATTGGTCGGTGTTTTCGCTCTCTTCATCAACCCCAAGGTGCTCTACCAGCATGAAAGGGTGTACACTGCACTACTTCACCTCATGGAGAATGGTGACGTGGAGGTGCAAAAGCTGGCGCTGAAGGCCATCCTCGCCTGGAAGCAAGAGGGTGTTCGACCATACCAGGAGAACTTGGAGTATCTCCTCGACGAAGCAAGATTCAAGAACGAACTCACAGTCTTCCTCCAGGGTGAATCAACGATCCAACCCGAACATCGTGCAGAGCTTATGCCTGTCCTTCTGCGACTATTGTACGGACGGACCATTTCGAAGAAGGGTGCTGCCAGTGGTCGACAAGGTCTGCAAGCCACTCGTTTGGCCGTCCTGAGAAACCTCAGCGTTGAAGACACAGGAAGCTTCTTGGACATTGCGATCGGAGGTCTGAAAGGAGCGCGTGTCATTGACGACTCCGGCTTCCGCACCAACTTGTTTGACCGGGAAATTCTTCCTGTTCGCAAGCAGACTGGTTTCATGAACATGATGTTGCCTCTTATCAACGAACTTGGTCAGCATGTTGGCCCCTACGTTGAAAGGTTGCTCCATCCTATCCTGTACTGCCTCATCTTCGCCTCTCGACGACTCAAGGAGTCAACTACTGTCGAGTCAGATGAAGAGGTTGAGGAAACGAACGAGGCCTCTCAGGAGTCCCTGCTCAAGACCATTCGGACTGTGGGTGTCAAGTGTATCATCACACTGTTCCGCAACGCCCAGGACTTTAACTGGACGCCGTACTCTGAGCCCATTGTGAACGAGATCGTTACTCCTAGGATTGAGAAGCTCCCCGTTGAGACGGCTCAGTCAGTCTCAAGCATCATGCAGCTCCTGTCAACTTGGTCTCAGCTGCCAAAGGCAGCACTCTACATCTCGATCAATGATCAGGTTCTGCCCAAGGTTATCGAGTGCGTATCGGTGCCCAAGGCGAAGGAGAACGTCAAGATTTTCGCCCTCAGCATCATCCGCAACCTCATCAAGTTGGCCCAGGCACCTGCTGTGGAATCCGAGTTCAACGAGCTCATCCGCACTGAGCTTCTGGACGCCAACATGGAGTTGATGTTGAAGACTGTCACCACGACATTGGAGACGCAGACCATGAGCAACGAACTGCTCGAGTCTTGCATTGAAACGATTGTCGAGCTTTCTCCCCTCGTTGAAACCTCGGCGAACGTGCGCGAGACGCTCAAGATCGCAACCTTCCTCCTCAACCAGCCGCCGAGACGAGTCAACCCTAGAGCCAAGGGCAAGATTCTCCTCATTCTGGAGCGATTCATCACCATCCTCAGCTCTGAGGAGGCGGAAGAGAAGACTGCTGATATCGCCATCTTCGAGACCCTGTCTTCTCTCTTTAGCTACTTCAAAGATAGAGACAACAGGCAGGCTTTGGCCCGCGTCCTTACAGTTTTGGCCGACAAGGATTCCACCCTCCAGGAGATTGCCGAAATCTGCCGCGACCTCAATGCCTTCGCCCCGAACCGCATCGACGAGCCAGACTACGACAAGCGGCTCGCTGCTTTCAACCGGATCACAAACAAGGAAAGCCCCTTCACTGTCAAGCAGTGGCTTCCTCTGTTACACAACTTGATTTACTACATCCGCTCCGACGAGGAATATGGCATCCTGGCATCGAACTCTGCAGACTCCCTGCGCAAGTTTATCAGAGAGGTTGCGGCCTGCTCAGACGAGACATCCAAGAGCGGCTTCGAAACCCATCTGAAGACTATTCTATTGCCTTCAATCTACACTGGAGCTCGCGAAGAGTCTTCCATCGTCAGGAGAGAGTACTTGAGAGTCTTTGGCTACCTTCTTTCGCAGATGCCAACCTGGGAGCCTGTTGCGGATATGAAGGGGCTGTTGGTCAGCGACATGGAAGAGGAGACGTCTGAGTTGCCCTTCTTCTTCAACATTCTCAGTCCCGCGACGGCGCGCCAGCTAGAAGCCATCAAGATGCTGAACTCTGTTAACGATACCTCGGAGTTTGGCAGTCAGAACCTGAGCCAGTTCTTCATCCCTCTCCTCGAGCACTTCATCTTCGGCCGTGCTGAAGGTAGTGACGACCAAGGCTTGGGTGCCGAGGCAACCAACACGATCGGCAACTTGGCTCAATCTTTGGACTGGAAGCATTACCGTGTTATTCTGCAAAGATACATCAGCTACGTCGAGTCCAAGCCCAACAATCAGAAGCAGGTGATTCGACTGCTTGCCAAGTTCTGCGATGCTCTTATTTTCTCAGTTGAAGGCAAGGGTACCGAGGCGATGCAGATTGATGATGCTGAGACCTCCACACCTGTCAGCAAAAGACTTGTGCTCACAACGCCCGCGCAAGAAAAGCTCAGCAAGGACGTCAATAACCTCTTCCTCCCTCCCTTGATCAAGCATCTCCACGAGAAGGATGAGTCCGAGGTCAGTTACCGTGTACCCGTCGGTGTCATCATCGTCAAGCTCCTCAAGCTCCTCCCGTCCGAAGAAATGGGTCAGAAGCTTGCCGGCGTTCTTACCGATATCTGCCACATTCTGCGCAGTAAATCCTGGGATGCTCGTGAGATGGCCAGAGACACTCTTGTGCAAATCGCTTCGGTGCTCGGCCCGACTTACTTTGGTTTCATCCTGAAGGAGTTGCGCGGCGCTCTCAAGCGAGGTTACCAACTTCACGTCATGTCTTATACTCTCCACTCGATGCTCCTCAAGGTCATTCCTCAGTTCCAGCAGGGTGATCTCGACTACACTCTCAAGTCCATCGTGGCGATCGTCATTGACGACATCTTTGGCGCTACCGGTCAAGAAAAGGATGCCGAAGGGTATATCAGCGAGATGAAGGAAGTCAAGGCAAGCAAGAGTCAGGACTCCATGGAGCTCATTGCCAAATCGGCCTCCATCAGCCAGCTGGTCGTCCTCGTCCACCCCCTGCGGTCTCTCCTCTTGGAGAAAGTGGATCTCAAATTGGTTCGCAAGATCGACACGCTTCTGGCAAGAATCACCGCCGGTCTTATGCAGAATCCGGCTGCAGAGAGCCGTGACACTCTCATCTTCTGCTACGAGGTTATTCAGGAGGTATACAAGAGCAAGAAGCCCGAGGTACAGCCCAAGATCGACTTCCGTTTGAAGAAGTATCTCTACCAGAAGGGCGTGAAGAAGGACAACTCCGGCACCGCTGGGAAATACACCTTCAAGCTTGTTAAGTTCACCTTTGACATCCTCCGGTCGGTCTGGAAGAAGTACGAAAGCCTGCGCACCGGCGCAAACATCGCTGGCTTCGTACCCATCCTCGGAGATGCCATCGTCGGCGAGGAGGATGACGTCAAGGTTGCTGCCTTCAAGCTTCTCACCGTGCTTGTCAAGGTGCCTTTCAACAACGACGAGGACGTTCAGCTTTTCAGGGTTGCAGTCAAGGAGGCGACGAAGAGCATCTCCATGTCAACCTCAACCACGACCGATCTGTCGCAAGCGGCTCTGAAGCTGCTTTCCGTTGTCCTCCGCGAGCGCAAGGATATCCCCGTCAAGGACGCCGCTATCGATATGCTCCTCGGTAAGCTCAAAGACGACCTGACAGAGACCCTTTACCGTCACGTCACCTTCAACTTTGTGCGCTCTGTTCTCGAGCGCAAGATCGAGACGGCAGTTGTCTACGATACCCTCGATTACGTAGGCACTGTCATGATCACGAACGACGATAAGGATACGCGTGATCTGGCGAGAGGCGCCTTCTTCCAGTTCCTCAAGGACTACCCACAGAGAAAGGCCCGCTGGGTGAAGCAGCTCAACTTCGTTGTCGCGAACTTGACATACGAGCGCGAGGGCGGCCGTCTGTCTGTCATGGAGGTCGTCCACCTGCTTCTCATGAAGTCTGCGGACGACTTCGTCCAGGAAGTCATCTCCACTTGCTTCTTGCCCCTGGTTATGGTGCTTGCCAACGACGACAGCGAGAAGTGCTGTCTCGCTGCGGGAGAACTGGTCAAGGAGATGTTCCGCAGGGCCGATAAGGAGAGAACGCAGAACTTCATGACGCTGCTCCGATCATGGGTTGAGCAAGAAGACAACCAAGCGGTAACCAAGCTGTCGCTGCAAGCTTTCGGGTTCTTTTTCGAGGCCAAGGAGCCCTCGACCAAGCACAAGAAGGAGTTGGAGTTGGTTCTTACCAAGATTGGAGAGATTGTGGGAACAGGCGACATCCGCGTTGCCGATGAGGACCTTGTCAACACTGTTCTTCGCGACCTTCAGGTTCTGACGGAGAAGTACCCAGCCAGGCTCTTGTCTACCGAGTCTAGGGATCTCTGGGCAGATGTCCGCGGTTGCCTCGTACACCCCGAGAACTCCGTCAAGCTTAGCGCCACCAAGGTACTGAGCACGTTCCTCGCGGACTACGCCGGCAAGTCAAGCAAAGCAGGCGAAGTACTCCAAGGATCTCACGGCCTGGACCTCGAGCTCGAGGACCTAGAAGAGCTCGTCAGGCTGACGCTCTACGCCTTGAGAACACCAGAGATTGACGACGCGCTCGCCGAGGAAATCAAGCAGATCCTAATTTTCCTCGGCCCACGCCTACCCGTCAAGGTGCAAACCGTGCCCGAAGCAGACACTCTGGGCGACCGTGACGAAGCCGAGGCGGAAGAGGACAGAATCGAAGAGCACCGCAAGGACCTGCAGTACCTCTTCTGGAAGCTCTCGTCCATCCTGCGCAAGGACGTCCGTCCCAAGTCGACCGCTATCACACCCAAGACCGTCGCAATGGAAGTGCTGGAGACGATCTGCCGTCGTGTTCCGCAAGACCACCTCGAGCCCTCGTTCAAGACGATCCTCTACCCGCTGCAGAACCTCACTGACCCCAACATCCCCGTGCCCTACTCGACAGATGAGCTCTTCAAGACAAGACTCGAGGCGCTCAAGACGAGGGCGCAGATCCTCATGGACTCGTTGCAAAAGAAGTTTGGCACGGCTGAGTACACGAAGCAGTTACTGTCCATCAGGGAGGAGGTGCGCAACAGGAGACAGCAGAGGTCGAGCAAGCGCAAGATTGAGGCGATTGCGCAGCCGGAGAAGTATGGTCGGGACAAGAGGAAGAAGACGGAGAAGAAGAAGGAGAGGAAGAAGGTTAGAGGCCAGGAGCATAAGCAGCAGAGGCAGGCGTACAAGGGGTGGTAATCATCGTCAAAAGCAGTCTGCATGGGATGGCGTTTTTTGGGAAGGGGACAAAAAAAAAGAAAGGGTACTAAAGGTGTTTTTGAAAGGGTTATATTTATATAGTACAGGGGCTGACATTGCCCGTTCATATGTGAGATCTATTCTGTTGTTACAATATGTCCCGCCATTTTGTGTGTTCCCATGAGTGTTGATGGGTATCCTGAACGCCTTTGTATGCAGTCATCCAATCCATTGGCAAATCAAGGCCTCAGTCGCCCTCACCGAGTCTGCCACAAGTATCGTACAATGTTTACAGTTCGTTTCCCAAGAGCCTTCAAGCAGACCCATCCTTCTTCACCTCCGCAGCCTGAGCCTCAGCCTCAGCACCACCACCGCCAGCGCTCTCATCAGGATAAAACTCGATATCGCCATCCTCGCCCAATGTGCCCCTCTTAACGAGTCTGCCCTTCTCGCGCATCAGGTCCTCGACAGTGACCTTGCGATCGCCAAAGATGCCGAGGTGGTCGCTGATGATGTGGCGGTTTCGGCACGACGGGCAGGTGATGAGGACGGAGCCGTGGTGGTAGCCTTGCTTGGAGACTTTGTGGCGGGAGCGGGTGTCGCACGGCACGCAGGTGAAGTCGAGCTGGTAGTGCGGTGAGGTCTCCATGCGCATCTGGGCGGGTGTCTTTGCTTCGGCTTCGCGCGCGGCTTTGGGTTTGGGGACTGTGTGGGCGAAACGGGCGGCGATTGTGGGTTGTAGGAGGGATGGTTGTTGTCGTGAGCGTTGTTGCTGCAGAGCTGAGAGGATTGGGCTGCTGCGCTTCAAGGGCGAGACGCCTGGGCGAGCTTGTCGCAGGACGGGCGTGAATCTTGTGAATGCTGAGCGGGAGGCCATTGTGATGTGTCGTCTGCGTTTTCAGAAGGAAGGATGGTGGTGGAAGTGGTGTTGGTGGTGGCTCTGCGTTGGATTGAGGCCTGCGGTGTAGGAGTTTGTAGGAAAAGAGCTAGAGCTTGACCGAGCTGTTCTCAAAGTGGACTGGGAATGCCGTCATTTTTCTGGAGTGTCACTGCTCTTTAATTTTTTTCCTTCCCTTGTTCGGAGTAGACTTAGAAAACGATGGAAACGTACGCCACATGTGGCGCAAACGGTTATCCAGTGTGCTTACCTTATCACCGCAAGCCACTCCTGGCTGATACGTGGCTGAGGTGCAAGGATCAAGGATTAAATTGATTGGATCCAACAGCCCGGTCGCACCTTCCGCCTCGTGTGTGGAAAGCGCGGACCATTCCGGCCTCGGGGCTCCGCAGCCTTGCCCTGCCGTGGCCCTCTCCGAACTTGCGACTTACATCCCAGGCCCAGATATCTCCTTCCTCTGCGATGCCTTGTACCAAATCCCACCACTCTTGCCGCAGAATCCGTAGTCCTTGACGCGGTCGACTTCTTCTGCACTGCACCAGCCAGGCTGTTCCTTTTTTCTTCTTCCTTTCACGAGTTTTTCCTTCTGGTTCTTACGAAGCATAGCAGCCTGGCTCCTCTTTTTTCTTAGAGTCCCTCAGTTGCCCGCCACACTTTCTGAGGAGAGCTACCCCGCCGCCATCGACTCAGGTTTCCCACGATAGCTTTCTCGACCTGAAACGACCGACCAAACCACGACCGAATTTCGCAGCGATATTGCGGATACGATTTTAAAACAGATACAGATACATACACCATGATTTCTGGTAGAGGTGGAGGTGGTACGGCCATGCGGGCCGGTCGCATTCGGCCCCCGCGCCGCCCTGGACGGGTAAGTCTTTCCGATTCTAGCGACTGGTGTTGACTGCCATTTGTGCGTGTGTGTGTGTGTGTGTGTGTGTGTCTGTTGGCTCTTGCGCATTCTGTGATGATGGCTCCAGCGCCGCCATGCGTGTAATGTCTTTTACGACTTCATTTCTTGCATGCTTGCCTCTGTTCAATCCACACCTACATTGTACATACTATTTAGGAACCACCGGGTTGCAAGACTACCGCCGGGATGCTTTGGATGAAGATCACCAGCCGCTGGCAAGACTTTCAGAATGAAAACTAACAGGTCAAAAGCTCACATCTGGCATCGACACGAGCGATTTCGAACAGTGCTGGGATACACTGAAGCAAGCCTTGACCGATATCCACAACCAAAACTGCAGCACCCTCTCATTCGAGCAGCTCTACCGAGCATCCTACAAGATAGTGTTGAAGAAAAAGGGCGAGATGCTGTACGACCGCGTCAAGCAGTTTGAAGAGCAGTACTTCTCTGAACACGTCATTCCCGACATCGAGAAGCTGGTCACGGCCAACCTCGTTAGCGCCGCAATGGGTGGTGCGGCTACCTCGGTCAATGAGCGACGCAAGATGGGCGAGCACTTTCTGAGCGGTGTCAGAAAATCATGGGAGCATCACAACACGTCAATGAACATGACGGCTGACATCTTGATGTACCTCGACCGTGGCTACACTCAAGATGCTCGTCGGCCGTCCATCTACACCGCCACGATTGGCCTGTTCCGTGATCACATCCTGCGAGCGTCACTGAACTCAGGGGGTCAGTATACTGTATTCGACATCCTCAACTCGGTTATCCTTGATCATGTCAATATGGAGCGAGATGGCGACACCATCGATCGGCATCTGTTACGCAACATCATAAGGATGCTCGATTCTCTCTACGAATCCGACGAGGAGCAAGAGGCAGAGAAGCTGTACCTGACAGTCTTCGAGCCTGCTTACCTTGAATCCGAGCGAGAGTACTACAAGCGCGAGTGTGAACGCTTGCTTCGGGAGGCTGACGCCGGCGCCTGGCTGCGACACACTCAACGCCGACTACAAGAGGAAAACGACCGATGCGATACTACTATCCATTATGAGACGAGAGAGAGATCCATCAAGGTCGTTGAGGAGGAGTTGATTTCAGCGCATCTGGATGACTTTTTGAACCTCGAGGGAAGTGGGCTCAAGTCTATGGTCAACTACGACCGTGAGGAAGAGCTATCCATTCTCTACCAGCTGGTATCGAGAGTTGACCCCAAGAAGACATCTTTGAAAAAGATTTTGTCTACGCGGGTGGTCGAACTCGGCCTTGAAATTGAGCAGATGCTCAAGGAGACGAATTTCTCTGCAGCAGCTGCGCCGGCCGATGGAGAAGATAATGAAGGCGGAGAGAAGGCCAAGGCACTCAGCTCTTCGGCTCAGCAGACAGCCGCGGCGATCAAGTGGGTTGACGACGTGCTTAAGCTCAAGGACAAGTTCGACAATTTGTGGAAAAAGTGCTTCCAAGAGGATTTGATCATTCAAACCTCACTTACAAAGAGCTTTTCCGATTTCATCAACATGTTCACCAAGAGCTCCGAGTACGTATCGCTTTTCATTGACGACAATCTTCGACGCGGCATTCGTGGCAAGACTGAGACGGAAACTGAGGCGGTGCTGGAGAAGGCCATTACTGTCATCCGGTATCTCTCAGACAAGGATCTGTTCGAGCGTTACTACCAGAAGCACCTGGCCAAGCGTCTACTCAACAACAAGTCAGAAAGTCATGATGTTGAGAAGTCGATGATTTCTCGAATGAAGCAGGAGCTAGGCAACCAGTTTACAGCCAAGTTCGAGGGCATGTTCAGAGACATGGAGTCGTCTGCCGAGCTGACTTCAGGCTATCGCGACCATATTAGGGGACTGGGCGATGTGTCTCGGAAGCAGATCGAGCTGGGTGTCAACATCCTGACTACCAACTCATGGCCCCCCGAGATCATGGGTCGCACATCACAATTTTCTGAAGGCGGTGGCTGCATCTTCCCTGAAGAGATCAAGCGTCTCCAGGAAAGCTTACTTAAATACTACCTCACCAACCGCAGCGGCCGCAAGTTGACTTGGCTTGGGTCGACTGGTAGCGCCGATGTTCGTTGTACCTTCCCCGCGGTCCCAGGAGGCAAAGGCCCCCTTGCCCGCGAGCGCAAGTACGAGATCAATGTGCCGACGTACGGCATGGTCGTCCTTTTGCTGTTCAACGAGCTCGAGGAGGGCGATGAGCTTTCGCTTGAGGAGATTCAAGCCAAGACCAATATCCCGATGCAAGATCTTGCGAGAACTCTGACTTCTTTGTCCATCGTCCCCAAGGCCAGAGTGCTCGCCAAGGAACCCGCTAGCAAGGGCATCAAGCCTGGCGATAAGTTCAAATTCAACGCCTCTTTTGTTAGCAAGACCGTCCGCATCAAGGCGCCCATCATCAACGCTACCAGCAAGGTCGAGGGCGACGATGAACGAAAGGCAACTGAAGAGAAGAACAACCAGACTCGAGCCCACGTTATCGATGCCGCTCTGGTCCGCATCATGAAGTACGTATCCTACGCTTGGCTGTCTATCTTCTGGCTTTACTAATCTTATCATAGGCAACGCAAGGAGCTTGGTCACTCGCAGCTCATTACAGAGGTCATTGACCAACTGAGTGGTCGCTTCAAACCCGAGATTAGTCTCATTAAAAAGCGAATCGAGGACTTGATCGTGCGAGAGTATCTCGAACGCGTAGAGGATGCTTCGACGCCGACGTATCGCTACCTCGCATAAGGAGGAGAAGACCCCACCGGTCGCCTTTGGTGCGGCACAAAAACGATGGACACGATTCTCATGATATAGGGATGTTAGAAGGGCATTTATGGCTGCATAAGGGAGGGTTCAAGGGATTTCTTCAAAACCAGGCATGGCGTTTTCCAGGTGGATTGCTTAAGAAAAATGCACATCATTCATCCGGATCGCGGACATAGGGACGGACGGGAGAGAGCTATCCCCTAGGTGGATGTTGTGGGTTTCCGGGGATTTCGGCCTTTGGGTGGTCCAGGTAAACACGGCTTCGTTGAAGCTACTCTTGATCAAAGGCAATTGAGTTTCAGATCACTGGCTCCCCGGTGACTAGCCACGGGGTTTTGATCTGGAATCGAATGTACATACTTTGCTTCTTTTGCATGTACAGAATTATAGGACTACTTGATATGAATGACCATGACACAGCTTCCGCCGACGTGTGCTAGTGGATTATACGCACACTCGACAGCTGTGAGGTCTTTTGAGCAGGTTACTCGAGCAGGTCACGACCGTAAAGCAGAGATTCATCTCAAGTCGACATTGACGAGTGCTCCCTGAATGCTCCGTGATAAACTCGTCTGCTCGAAACCAACTTCATATTTTCGTCTCTTGCGTTTCTCGTCTTGACGATAATCCAAAGGTGGATGGGATCAACAGATCGCCCCAAGGTTATCGCCCTTTTAGAACACGAGCATATCTGGCCCCCAAACCTATTCAACCTTGCAGAGAAGACCCTCGAAGCTCAACATTCGTGCCGTCAACTTTTTGCGCAAAGACATTTCAAGGTTGCCCGGTATTCCCATTCAGCCCAGCCTCAGATCTATATCTCACCCTGTAGTCTCACCGTCACAAGGAGCCACTTCATCGCTTCCATCGCGGGTCTCTTGCCATGTTTGACGAATAATGAAACGAGGTGCGTTTCCCCCAGTTTGCGCAGTTTGATCGTTCATTCTTTCCCCCGAGTGTTGGTAGGTTTGCACTGGCGAGACTGTCCACAATGAACAAATGGGTCCTATTCGTCTCTTACAAAGCGCTCTTCTTCTTTTGATTGGGAAAAAGATTTCAATTCGATCAGCGCCCCGGAATAGCGTCGAATCCACTTATCCCGGGGAGCACCCCAAAATGGCGGGTTGGATCTTTGCGAGACGACCACCAACGAGGTAACACCAAACTGGAATATCAAACCCGACAATGCTCCAACAGCAGCAATACCAACGTCAACCAACACTAATAGGAAAATTGGGGACCTTGAATTCCCATTTCAAGTTTCCAACGCCTCCCATCCCACCCTAAAGAACAAGCTGGAAAACTGGATTAAAAGTAGGCACACACTGTAAGAGGTGAGAAATCCGGAAATTCTGATCTCGATCATGGATGGGGGACTGAGGATGAGGGATGGGGAGATGCATAGAAATGCCATTAAAGCCCGCAGAGAGCAGGCATTATATTACAATCTACACACCTGTTCACTCCCCCCCCCCAAAAAGCTGCAGGAATAATCTCACTGCTTTCTCGATTCCCTCGCCAATCATTAAGAGGCCAGTATATGCAGCAAGATGGAGACCCGATCCGTGAACAGGTTACCCAGATTTCGGAGGCTGAGCTGAGCACCACTCACACTCACACATACCTTACATATCCATCCACACGCACACAGCAAACCATTAACCGTTCCGGCCGGGCGCCCGTACCTAGCTTTTTTCCCCCGTACATCAGACCACCACCTCACACCCCCAAACGCACACCCATCCTGCAGTCATTTTCATGCCTTCGGCCAAACCTATCAACATGGCAATGCTAGCACAGCGAATAAACTAAACAGCTAACATAATTCATCCGACAAGTTGACTAGAGTTTCTTGACAGTTCAGACACGTGTGAGAGATAGATAGCGGTCTTCTCCGGGAAACTTTGAGCGCGCATATCTCGACAAAGTTTCCACCAGGTTCGTTGTGGAGTTTGATGATGTGTGGGATTCCGGGGGGCCCGTCCATCTGGCATCGGGGCGCGTTGACCAGCTTGCGATCAGCGCCGGACGGGGGGTGTTGAGGTATGGTATCCGTTACTGGATTACTCGAACGCTGGTAAGCAGGTACGCAGGTAGGGGGGAGCACCTCTGCGAAAACGAGGCGATGCGAAAGGGATGATGATGAGACGAGACGAGATGAACGGCGGGGTCGTCTCTTCGGAAATTTTTACACTGATCGACAAAAAGTCGCTCTCATCCGACAGCCATCTAGGTTTTTCATACATGGCTTTAGTTCAGTATCCCAAGGAAAAAGGCGGGAAGAAACAAGAATCCTGATCGTGTCATCATTCCTAATAGAGTGCCAGCATGGCATGAAGAAAGGGATAATAAAGGGCCGCCAGAACTGCCCACCTAGACAGACGGAGAAAAGTCCGTCCAAGAAGATGGAGGGGAACAAAGTCGCTGAGTCCTACTGACAAGAGGCCCAAATGGAGCGACGATGCCAGACTCGAGAAAATGAACAGACTCCCGCAATTCCCAAAATACCGTAACCCAATCTTAATACTTCCCGCCCATCCCCAATCGAATGACAGGAGCAGGCTCAAACTGGGCCTTTGCAAAAAGAAACGCCAGTTCCTCCATCCCCGGAAGATAACTTTTTAATGCGATGAACAAAAAAACAAAAGAACTCCGATTTTAATAGCCCGTGATCCCTTTGGCGTGGCGACGCAATGCAAATGGGGGTGATGAACGATCCGGTGAGACACAAAAGACAATGCTGACGCCGCGATGCATCTTCACATGTTATGCTGCTTCTCGCGAAACTCGCGCCGTATGTCTTCCACCTTGGACCCGTCCCGCGGACATGACCACCCGCTCTCCTCGATCTTGACTCTGTCGAGGCACTTGGAACACCGCCACCACTTGGGATAGATCTTGCGCTCCTGCAGCCACGCGACCGTCATCTCAAACGTCTTTGCGCTCACGTCTTCCTTGTGGACGTCGGTAAGGTGAATGCGCAGCCGGTCCTTGCGGTTGAACGGTTCGTTCTTGCGGTTGCAGGCCGGGTAATCGCAGAGAAAAACACCGGCGGTACCGTCCTTGTTGCTAATGCTATTGTTGCCAGCGCCGTTGACGCTGTTATTCCTGTTTCCTTGCGCCGCTGTACCTGTCCCCGTAGCCCCCGCCGCTCCTGCGCCCGCGGCCTTGCCCTTGGCCTTGCTGCTGCCGGCTGGCGGTTTCTTGGTCGTGATCTTGGGGCTAGGATTGCTTGTACTTGTCGCGGGTGTGATATCTTTTAGGGAGAGTGCGGGAGAGGGCGCCGTGGTTTGGCTGTCGACATGAGCCTGTTTGTAATGCTTGTCAAGGTCGACTTTGCGCTTAAATGGCTTCGAGGGACATGCCGCTGATAAACAGGTCCATTCGATATCTTGGGGTTTTTGTATAGGCGACTTGCTCGTCGCGATGCGCGGTACTACGTTGGGGAGCTCTTCTGAGGGCGAATGCTGTTGTTGCAGTTGCCAGAACCCGCCATCGTCGGTCAATATGTAGTTGTACTTTGAGCAGTCAAAGTTGGGATACGGTAGCTCGGCCCTTTATGGTTTGGTGACGAGGAAGGGTCAGCATTGAGAATAGAGAGCTCGCGCATGTTTGCAACTGTCGGGTGAAATGACGGAGGAAGCTCTCCTGGATGCGCTCCCAATCGGTGTGAAAGAGGGAGAAAAAAGAGATGGTGGCAGATGTGCTGTTGTCGTCGAACTGGGACTTACCACGGCTCGATGGTGGGCATGTTTGCGCTGCCTTTGCTCACGGCGGCGTGCGGTCGTTTTGCGGCTGTTGAAGGGGCCATGATGAATGTGGTTTCTTTGCCCGGGGATATAAATCAGCGTTCTGTCTCTCTCTTCTCTCTCTCTCTCTCTCTCTCTCTCTCTCTCTCTCTCTCCATAATCCCAGCATTGCGAATCTGTCCTCTCCAATCTCATCCCGCCGCGCGCCTCGTATCGCCCATTTCCCGTGTTTCGTAGCAGCCCTACAGTCGATCCAAATCGTCGGCAATCGAGAGAATGCAAACAAAAAAGAAGGAAAAATCAAAGGCAATCAATTGAACTCGGGGAACGCAGAGAAAGAGAGCAGAACAAACCTTCAGGCTTGGCGAGAGACATAATAGCCGCAGATGCGCGGTGAAAGGGAAAAAAGGTGAGATACGGGAATTCGGTACGGCGAGACAGAGAGCAATCGTCGTCCGTGTCAAGTGAGACTCAGACGGGTCACGGAGCCGTCATGGGAAGGGCAGACAGGTGAACGAACGGAAAGGCTGGGATGGTTTGGTATGGCGTGCCGTTGTCGTTGATGATGATGATGATGATGATGAAGGAAGGAAGAAGTTGGGACGTAGGGATCATTTCATACCGTGCCTCCAAACCCCCGACGGGACAGGATGAAAATAGTGAGTTTGCGAACAGGACGGAAGGTCTTTAATGCTCGGTTGTTTGTTCGTTCCTTCCTTTGGGGACCAGGAGATGAATATTGCTTTTCTCCTCTCCTCTGTTCTCCTCCCCTCCCACCTCCCTCCCAGGGCAAAGCCGCAACACAACACAACACACCAGCAAACCCAAACCAACCAGCCCGAAGCCGGGCGAACCAACCAACCCAAAGGGAAGAACCAACTTAGTACCTACCTACAACGGTCAAAAAGAAAATGAGAGAATTAAGAGCAAGAGAGGCAAAGCAGGAGTGGCAGCAGCAGCAACAATAGCTGTAGCAGCAGGAGCATGAGGATCAATCGGGCCAATTCCAAGGGACCAAAGAGACTAGGTTGAGCAAGGTCCCAGGTTGGTTCAGGTACGGCGGCCGTTCGTACGGCACAGCTAAAGTACTTTCGCTTATTGGGGGGGAGTAAGTGGTGACTGTGACTGCGAGTCTGCGACTGCTACTGCAAGATTGCTTTAGAGGTGCGTTGAGAAAAGGTACCATATTTGCTCTGGGTGGTCCGTAATGGCAGGGTAATATTCCGTACGGAGACGTAGTTAAGGCAAGGTATCCGTACCTTAGCTATAGGGGAATGTAGCAGCAAGCATCGACATCAGTAAGTAGCCAGTGATACCTAGCTACCTTAGAATAGTGTAAGTTACAACGGCGAACAGCAACAGCAGCTCATGCGACAGCGATACAACGGCTACAAAAGAACATGGTACGTATCCTGTTCGTAGCAACACATCTGGTGAGAGTGGCGGGGTTTAAAACGCTGTTTGCCCAATCCCGGGAGAGAACGGTTCGCCCATTTCGTTCTCAAGCAGGAGGGGGGGGAGTGTCTCTTGAGAAGCCTGTCCTTGGATTCTTGGAGTCCTTTGGGTTGGGGAGGAGGAGGGGGGTGGTAAGGGGGGTGTCAGGATGTCTAGGTGTAGCTCCCAGCTTCCCACACCAAGTGACTTGGCGGGAGTGAGGGATGAGATGTGATGGAACTGCGGCGGCAGCGGCAGCAGCAGCAGTAGCAGGAGCAATCACGGCATGTAGCGTGCGTTAGATGAGCGGGCAAGCCTGCGTCTGTCTCGTCTTGCTGCTGGACTGTAGCCGTAGGGAAAGGTATGCGTCCCTAGGCATGCTAAGGCAGGGTACGGAGTATCATGATAGAAGTCCTGAGGGGCGTGTGTGGCATGGGTGTGAGTGTGTGGTGTGAGTGGTGTGTGTGCTGCTCCGGGATGAGAATAGATTTGAAAAATGTAATAAATAAAAGTTGCCCCGTCACTTATTATCCGAATTCAAAAAAAAAAAAAAAGGATTGGGATCGGAGGGGGTGGTGTAAGAGGCGACAAGGGTCGAGGACGTGCGTGTCCAAAGGTAATCCATTCCGATAGACGACATGAACAACGACGACGGATGGGTCTCTTTGAAGCATATGAGACGAGGCGAGATTGACGAGTGCTTGAGCCTTGAGTATTTACGGATGGGAGTCTGAGTCTGGGACTGTGAGCCTGAGAGGGCTGCAACGATTGCGATGGTTTGACGAGCGGCAGCGGGAGATGACGTTGGTAGCCATCCCATCTGGTTCGGTTGCTGGAAAGGAACTTTCATGAAAAGGATCGTTGGTGCGAACCAAGTGCAAGGTCAGGGGAAGGTGAAGAAGGTAAGGTAGGTACTCCGTATTGTCAGCGAACACGGCTTTAGGTGGCAGCAGTAGCAACCGCCTCCGCCTCAAAGTCCACGTATTATATTTTTGTACGAAGTATGGATGCTGCGTTAAGGTGTCCGCAGGGAGGTGTTTCCGTCGGGATGGAAGGGATCCAGATGCTGCGAGTGATTGACGGATCGTGCGGATGATACGGTGAGGTCTGTCCGAATACCGTTGACACCTCAACGGGCTTCCGTCTGCTGGCAGCTCTTAGCTCTTGACCTGCCACGGTGTGCTTACATTGCTGAACTTCACATTGCGCTGCGTTGGAGTTGGCAGTTGGATCATGGATGGATGGCAGACGATGCGAGACCCTGAGTCAAGGACCTGGCCTCAGGCCGGAGTGGACACGACAAGATTTCGTGATGATCACCGAGCATGGGAGCCTGGGAGAGCGGGCTCCAACAGTTTGTGGGGGTGGGTGGAGACCGCCTTCACGGTTGGAAAGCTCGTGGTCCTGGTCCAGTTACATGTCGGGATTGATTATATTCCCCCAGCTCACGTTGTTGGTGATGAGCGAATGTGATGACGGGTGAGCGAGCGAGCGAGCGAGAAACCTGGAACTTTTCGAGGCGAGCGATTTGTCGATGTTTGATGATGATGTGGACACGGAAAGAGTCGAGACTTCAGGATCGTAACCATCATTGAGACTCCGGCGGCGGCACGGCGAGACAAAACAGTCTGACGGCGGGCGGGAGAGACGGTAAAGGAAGAAGCAAGTACTGTCTGACTGTTTAGTAGGTAGTGTACGGGTATCCCAGCAAGAGATGAAAAATATCTGGTGGTTTGCCCGTGTTTCTCTCAATTCTGTGACGACCAGATGTTGCGATTGGACTTCTTTGTTTTCCGAGAAGGAAAGACTGAGGTACGGTCAGATACGTACTGTCTCGGGCTTCAGATTTTTCCTGAGGTACCTTTTTACCTATCTTCTATCCCAGGATTACCTACGGTAGGTAAGGTGAGGTACTTCGTAGCTTCCCAGTTCGTAAAGCGTTTGTGGTGATTACCCGAAGTTGTTCAGAGTATGTACCAAAGATATCATCTCAGGCAAGAACCTCAGGCACATCAAGATGGAGCAAGCAGTTGAGAATAATACCCGGCGAATACATATACCGCGGCAGTGTATCCGTACGGATACACATCAATACACGCGTGCCGAGATGCCACAAAGCGTTTGACTGTTGCAACTACTCCAGCCCGAGGCCCCGAGCTCATTAAGCGAGCCGGAAGTTACCCACACAAGCTGTGTCGTTTGGGTGACTGTGACTCTGCGGATGAGGTACTTGAAGACTCCAGACTCAGAGTCTGCGGATACGACGTAAAGGCTGAAGCCCCGACCCGGATCTTCCTCCTTGCGCTGCCGCATCAATGCATTACTGGGTTGGCGCGCGCCATTTGCCTATCTATCGGCTATCCACGCTACCCTAACTACCTCGGGATGTTGATCGTCGCAAGGTATGGATGTCAAGTGTGATGGCGGCATTGGCTGGCCATGGCCTGGCGATATCTGAACTTGCCTTGAGACACCAACAAAAGGCCGCAGGCATCGAAGGGCGCGGTCAGGCTGGAATTGTAGCAAGCACGCAAGACGCGGAAGGAAAGAGACTTTTGTCTCTCTGAGAGAAAAGTCCGCTTTGGCTCGGCCGTCATCCCTTCCTTCATTCCAGCCCATTGGCCTCATGTCACGATTTAGCGGGCGATGGCTGCTTCTTCTTCACATTAGTGTCATTCTTACCATCTGGGGGTTTCCTTGGGGGTCTGCCGCTCGGGTCGCCATCGTTAGGTACCGCTAGTCTTTCATTGGTCCCTTGGGGTGCCCGTCGACCAAGTGGTGGTTATCTTTTTTGGGGGGAGTCTGGAAGAGCACGAGAGCTCCAGCCTCTGGTGTCTTCTCCCACCGCCTCCAGGTTCCATCGCAAGAAGGCTCTCGCTCTCGGGGAGACGGGCCCCATATGTGCGTGGGTGCTCGGGAGAGAAGAGGCTGCTGAGCGTGCTGGAGACTGGAGTCCGGAGACAGACGACCATGCGGTGTGGAAACAGGCTCCGGCTCGACAGCCTTGAATGCGACTTGGCCGGCTCTGACTTGCCAGAGGCACGCAAGAGGGGTCCAGCCAGGTGCCGCGCTGTCCTATCCCATCGAACCCATTGAGAATTGTGTGTCGCCCCAGCTCAAAGCTACCTATGGGCTATGAGCTATCCTCCGATGTGGTTCTCAAGCTTTCTCGTGCGTCTTGCTCCCCCGGTCCGGATGCGTCAGTACTCGCGGGGGGAGGGCCAACGAGGTAGAAACCAGGGAAGTAATGGGTAATAGTAGCCGCGGTTGTGTCATAAAGCAAGGTGGTTTGGGTAAGGTAGGTACGGTGTACGGAGTAGTGTTAGTTGCAGCCCAAAAGTCAGATACACCATGACGAGAAGGAAAAGTCTGCCTTGGTTAATGGAGGGGCGGTCAGAGCTCTTTGGCAGCTGGCTGTCTCTCTCCGCTTCCTTCCTTAAGCTTGCCCATATCCCCTTCGATCGTCGATTCTTTGTCAGATTTCTCCTTTTCTCCCCCATCGTCTTGTCGTTTCCCTCTTGCGTATCCTCTTCTTCTGACTGGCAAAGTCGGATGGAGGACCGGCAGGAGATGCATCACCACAACCATTGACTGTTTTGATTCTTTCCCAGCGTGGAAGGAATACAAAAGGTCAACGACCAACGAGAGGGCGAGCCCCCCGCAGCTCGCCCCCGCGCGAACAAATAACCAAACGACGGGAATTATCACGATAGGAAAGAAAGAGAAGGAGAAGCAGAAGCTGAGAGACGCTGACGTTGTTTCCTTCCTTTGTCGAAACAGTTTCGAAGGAAGGAAGGTCACTTGAAGAACAAAGTTGGCAAGAGGTAAGCGACGCTCTTTCTCATCCCATGTCCTGCAAACCCCTCGCCGCCTTCCTCTCCCAGTCAGTTCCTGGGCCTCCACCTTCCATTTCTTACAGCTGCCCTTCGTCCTTGCCTCCTTAGGTTCCCTTGTCTTTGTCACATGATTCGCATAGGCACCTTCCTACCTTCCTTTACCGCATCAAGGTTCGTCTGGCATTCAGCCCAAGGTAGCGAATTCCTCGAGTGTTTAGGTATTCGAATATTCATTCGCTTCAGCCTCACCCTTTACATTAAAACATCCATTCATCCCTTCCCTTTCTTTACCCCAAAACCCACGAGACGAGACCGAGCATCCAAGACCCAGGACGGGGAACACGGACGACCGGACAGGGGCCCCCTTTCTCCTACGCCAACCAAACGTGTGGGAAATCGTGCCGTTTTACGGTTTTCTAGTGCCAATCATCATTGCACCCCTGAACTGAATTGACGAGATTACGGATCCAGCCCACACTGCCTTGCCCAGCAGCTACCGAGATTTTCCCTGCTTGGGTATTGGTACGGAGTACGAAAAAAAAAGAAAAGCTGACGGAGAAAAAAAATACAGAGGTATTCGGTTCCTCAGTACCGAGCCACCACGACCACGACGAGACAGACGTCAACAATACCATCATCACCAACGTCTTCATCGACTTTGCTCAGCCTCTGCCTAGTCAGCACCAATTTTCTACCGCATTTGGGACCGAATTCTGCCTGCATCATCGCCTGCCCACCCCCCCAAGGCACCAGCTTTCTCTAACCTTTACCACCCCTTAGGTACCTTTCATCGCCCCAAGGTACGTACGTGTTCCGTTCCGCGCGTCAGGAAAGCTAATTCCACGAGGAATGGAGCTGAAAAGACACATGGCCTGAACCTCCCAAAATGTTTCATATCCATCATTCTTCCTACCAACACCATCCACCCTGCGCATCACGCTAACCCGCACCCGCTCATATAGAACACGGTCTTTTCCTGTGCGACGATCCACGAAGCATACAAAAGCCTCCCCCTGACAATCTGCATCTTCATCTACCCTCCTCCACCGACGCCATCCACCTCACCGACGCGCATCAATCGCACTTTCGACATCCACAACCGACACCATGGCTCGCATCCAGATCCCCATCGATGCCCTGACGAACCGTCTCGGCCTGCAGGAGCGCTTTAACAGCATGCGTTCTGGCGGTTTGAGCGGTCGCTTCGCAAACCTGAAGCCCGTTGGCGAGTTCTTCGACATGAAGCGTCTCTCCAAGCCCGCCAACTTTGGCGAGGTCCAGTCGCGATGGAACTACAACCTCTCCTACTTCTCCAGCAACTACAGCGTCGTCTTCTTGATGCTCAGCATCTACGCTCTGCTGACCAACTGGCTGTTGCTGTTCGACATCATCTTTGTCATTGCGGGCATGTTCCTTATTGGCAAGCTCGACGGTCGTGATCTCGAGATCGGCTCTTTCAAGGCCACCACTTCCCAACTGTGGACCGGTCTTCTCGTCATCTCTGTGCCCTTGGGTCTGTACGCATCGCCTTTCGCGACGCTTCTCTGGCTCGTTGGTGCTTCTGGCGTGGTCATTCTTGGCCACGCTGCTTTTATGGACAAGCCTATCGATGAGGCTTTTTCCGGGGAGGCGGTCTAGATGGTCGGCCGCGAGCTCCCAAATTTGCGCCCCAGTGGGGAAGACCATCAAGGCGCGGGCGGAGGAAACAGGGAGCTGCGCAACAGGGGTCCTGGGAGGACGGGACGAGAGTTGTCGAGGAGCTAGAGGAAACGGAAGTAGACAATTCGGATACACAAGGCGTTGGTTTGGTTTCGCGAGGGAAGCGGTTCGCAAGCGACCCGCTCCGCTTTACGGGTACAGACGTGGGTGACCGGACGACGGCATTGCGGAGAGGATACGACTACCAGCATTCGGACGATGACGAGGACGACAGCGAAGACGATGGTGAGGGCTCGGAAGAGTCCTCTTCGGAAGACGACGACGAAGAAGAGGAAGAAGAGATTGATTGGGATCAGCTTTCGCCGAGGGAGCGGGATGAGGCGCTCGCGCAAAGAGCCCTGGCCCGCATCCGACGTGCACAAGAACGAGGCAAGCTCGAGGTCAATCTCAGCAAAGACGAGATGGCCGCCCTGGAACGACGGAGGAAGCGCATTGAAAAGGAAGCTCGCAAGCAGGAGCGTAAGCAGCGGCGCGAAAAGGAGCAGCGGTTCGCCATTCCGCTGTCACAATTTCAGCCGACCTCCTCTCGCAGAAGGTCGCCCACCTTGACTCTGGAGGACGATCTACCGCGCCATCCGTCGCCTGGCACATTCGCCAATGTCCAAGACGGCGGTGCGATGCCGCCTATGGGGTACTTCCCGCCGCCCAACGCTTCTCGTACCCGCCCCAGATCGGCAACTTCCGCTTCGCAGCGACCGACGTCTCGAATCATGGGCGAAAGGGGTTCATCGCCCTTCAACTACGCCTACGTCCAGGGCGCACCAGGCCAACGTTTGCCATCGGATAACATGTCGCCTGCTTCTTCGACATCGTCTCTGTCAAAATCTCGAAATGGCGTTGACCCCTTCCAGTTTCAGACCGAAGGTCCCGCCGCTGCCGCTCGACGCAACGTATCGGGCTCCACCGACGGGCGCCGAACATCCGTTGCGCCTCCGACGGGTCGAGGTGGCCGGGCTCCGCGCGGGCCGCCACCCGAGGAGAGTAGCAGCGAAGAGAGCAGTGAGGAGAGCAGCGAGGAAAGCACCAGCGACGGCATCGGAAACGGTGCGCAGATCGTTCAGCCGCCGCAGCCACCGCCGGTGTCGTCTGGTCCGACGACACGACGTGGTCGTAAGGAGGCCATTGCCGTGGAGGAGGCTGCCGCCCGTGAACCGGCACGTGAGGTTTCGCGGGGTAAGAAGTCTGCCAACCCGTCGCCGTCCAAGAGGAAGCCTACTGGTGGCCGGCGCAAGAAGAAGTAATCTTTCGCTGCTATGGGCTGGAGTCAAAAGTTGTCTACTGTGTCCTGTATCGTTAATTAGAAACAATATTTCTTAATGAATTCCGTGCCCTCACAATTGCTGCGCCTGCTCTACGTGGCACTCATTCCCGTGCACACTTCCCTGGACAAGTTTGCTCAATGGTCATAAATCGTGTCTTGATATATCTAAAGGTATATATGTATGTAAATGCGCCATGCACGGTCTAACGTGGCATGCATTTTCCAAAGATGCATGGGACGAACCAGAATAAAGTAGTCAAAGATCCCGTAACCCAAAAGGAAACGCCTTTCAGACAAAAAAAAATTGCTGAACAAACTGTCCACCCATACCAGTTGTGGTTCTTACCCCGTTCGTCTTTTTCCCCCCCATGCCTCATGAATCGAGGGGTTCAAACAAACATCTTGGCAACACCACTCATAAGCCCATCAGCCCAACCACCGCCACCACCACCACCATCACGCTCAACACTCCTCCTCTCCCACGAATAATCCCCATCATACCCTCTCTCGACATGCGCGCGGGTAGCAGCGCCACCAGCAAGCCCGCCGCCGAACCCGCCGCTCGCCATGCGGACCGCCTCGCCGACGAGACCCATGGAGTCGCCCGAGGCGGCTTTCGCGCCGATGCCAATCATGCGCTCGATGCCGGGCGGGAGGCGGAGGCCGAAGCGGGCGAGGAGGGCGGTGAGGAAGCCGCCTGTGATGAGGGGCATGATGACGAGGGCGACGACTTTGTAGGGGTGCTTTTTGGCGTAGTAGACTAGGTCGCGCCAGAGGCGCTTGACTTGCTTGAGGGTTTTTTGGACGAAGCCGTTTCGGGGGGAGCGTTTGTAGTATGAGGGGCGGCCTTGTTGATGGTCATGTTAGTTGAGATTCTTGGAGCCGAGACGTTGGGAAGAGCCAATTGAGTTTCGCGGGAGTAAGAAGGATGGGATGAAAGGGGGGAAGGAAGGTGATGTGGGTGGTTAGAGACATACCACCGCCGAAGCCGAAGAATGATGAGCGCGAAGCATTGGGAATACCGAAAAAGGAACCGCGCGACGCGTTGTTCTTCTTGTAGTCGTCGCCGCCAAAGATGGAGGCGGCGATGCTGGGTGCGCTGTGGCGCTTGCTGCGGGAGCGCGAGGAGGAGCGAGAGCGGGAGCGGTGCTTGCTGCTGTGCTTTTTGGAGTGGTGGGAGGAGTGCCGGCGGGAGTGGGAGGAGCGGCCGGAGATGACGCTGCCTGTGGACAAGTCGAAGAAACCCATTGTGATGCTCGTGTGTGTGTTGCCTGTCTCGCGATGTCTTGCGGCGTAGGTGGTGTAGGTGGTGTAGGTGGTGTAGGTGGTGTGGAAGAGCTCTCTGTGATGGGAGAGCTTCTTGTTTGGTGTGGGTGGCTGAGACTATCTGTACAGAGACTGGGACCGGGATGTGAGGTGTTGGTGGGTGAAGGAGGAGGGATACAGCTGGGGTCAAGCCGTGATTGTCGTGGTGAGAGGCGAGATCTTGTGGATGCCGAGGGATTGGAAGGTAGAGGAGGGAGAGGTTTGTGTAAGGAGTGTGTGTGTGAGAGCAGAAGTGAGAGTGTGAGTGAGAGACGGAGAGCTATCGAGACGTGGAGGTGGTGAGACGGTGCGGTGGAAACCCACAGACGCCAAACCAGTCCGGGGAGGGAATTAAAAAACCCTTGTGCGAGGCTGGAGAATGCGACACTGTCTGGTTCGGGGAGTACGGTTTGCGGGATGGGATGTGGCACGTTACACACGGAGACGAGTTTTACAGTAGTCTCTGGGGGTTGTCTTGTCTTGTCTTGAGTCTCGATGAGGAGTTTGGGCAGAGCTGGCTATGCTGAATCCGTAGCCTTATGACATGGGGTTTAATTAGAATGTTGGACCGCCAGGGGAGCGACGTTGAAGCTCACGAACTGGTGGGAGGTCGGAGGGGGAGGGGGGGAATTGGTTCGTGCTTTTTTGGGAGACGAGAGTCTAGAGAGGACCAGGAGGCGAATAATGGGGATAGATAGACGAGAGCGACGAGGGTACACCCTTGGTTTTGAACTCTGGATGGAGTTGTGTTGCTCGATAACTTCAGCCCAAACGTGGATATTCTATCGACACGTTGAACCCGATCGTGGATCTTTCAAGTGTTGTTAACTTGATTGCCAGCTTGTCATGAGTCTCAAGGTCGAGACCAAGTAATTCGTAGGCTCTCGACACTTCTCTCGCGTGCGTAAAGAACCAGGGTTCGTTTTTTTTCTTCACTGATATGCAAGCGATTTCCGACGCAAGCAATTCGTTCGGCAAATGGGCAAGATTTAGTGTGCGGACTGGGGAGAGGGGAGGGCAAGGGGGGGTGTGAAAGTCGTGAGTGGACGGGGAGCGGCGGAATGTGGGAATTTCGCAACCAAATTTTTGGATCTCGTCCTGCGACTTCGATGCGTGGCCCTGCGTGCGAGAGGTGTTCCGCTTTCCGATGGATATAGAGAACCAGGTCTGGCCAGGAGAGGAGCACAGGAAGCCAGTGTTGGTTTTTCTTTGGTTCGGCGAATGAGGGCGACTCTAGTTGTCTAGATGCTGGAAGAGAAGTGGACGGGTCCCAGTTGTATGAGTCTATGAGAGCCTGACTATGCGATGTCCAACGTCTTTGATTGTAACGTATCAGTTGTCTACTGATTTGAAATTTCGTTCACCGCTGGTTTATCGTCCTGTATGTGGCCTTGTCTTGAGATGTATGTGACTCTTTTCGTATTTCCAGCAGGATCCCAATTGATTGCTTTTGGTCTCACATTATGTTGGTACGTATCCTAATATCCAAGTGAGAGACAAAAAAAAAAAAAAAAAAAAAAAAAAAAAAGGATGGCTGGGAATTGGGAAGACCGTCTGGACAGGGTTTCGCAGGGTCCCCCTCCTGTCTCTGCCAAGGACGAAGCTAAAGGAGCTTTGGTGTTCGACTGTGCCGGGGTAGTCCAAACGCTAGACGGCTTTGGGGATGGCATCTGTGGATGATCAGTTGCGGTCTGGTGGGGGGGAGCATTGCGGATGGGATTCTCAACTTTTCTCTCTCCTCCAGGGACAAAAGTCGAGGCGGGGTTGACTTCCTCAACGACAGAGGCTTCGAGTTTGACTACTGTGTCATTCAATTCAGGTGTTTGGACCAAATCAATTTGATGTCTTTGCATTGAATATCGAGAAGAGGAACCATCGATTATGTTGCATTAGAAGTCTCAATGAAATGTCAGACACGTGGAAGCAGCACTTGCTTGCTAGCCTTTAACGGCGGGTCGTGCCTGGCTTGAGTCTAAATCGATACCTATCTCAACTGCAGGTACTGCTGTGTAAATCAAGTTAGGTCCAGAAATAACATGATATTCAAAGAAGGAAGGTTTGGTCTCTGCTCTCAACTGCGTCGGAAAGTACAATTCCCTGAGGCACTTCCTTCACATTTGTGTGAGTGTAACTTGACATTTCCTACCTTTGAATGGTTAGCTATCTAACTGGGAAGGGGTGTTACAAGCAGCCCAGATCACGCAGAAGGTCCCATTGACGACTACTTTACTAGGAACTCCCTTTTGTTTTCTTAATGTAAACGTCATATGATTGAGAGAAAGCCTGCCATGTAGGACCAACGGCGTTCCACCTGCCTCACTGTCAAGGGGCTGTCCCATGACCAGACGACCTCTTACTTGACCGATCCCGCCTCTCGCCCAGAACATTGTTGCGAGTTTATCGAAACGGACGACGACCTCGGCTTACCTCAGCGTGAATACTGTAAGGCCAGTCTCAGTTTTAGGCCGGCATAGCACAAGCGTCATGAGCGGTTGACTTTCATTCTACTTCCTACAATCATCCATTGCACTGTAATATCACACTGCGGGCAGAAACCTTGAGGTATTGGCTATGGGAACCGTGGGAACAAGCGACGTTAGGGAGACCATAGCCTCGCTGGGATGGAACATGTCTTCCTTCGCCTCAAGCATCTCGGAACGTAGCCGCCGTCGACATATCAAGCCACCACCAACATAGCAATTCACCCAAGCTCCTCCAAGATCTATCAAAACGAGGGATTTCCTCTGCCTCTGACCTAGCTGAACTACATTACTTACCTACCTCAACATGCTTGACTCTACCTTACGCTCGTGCCTTTCCTCCCATTAAGCCAACCTTTTCTTGCTACAAAAACTCCAAGAAACGATGCGCTCGCCTTTCCTCACCCTGATCCTCCTCGCCGTGCCCTCGGCCCTGGCATCACCCTCACCCTGCACCGCCGCAACGATCCAATGTCCCCTCATCTTCGACGGCCGCGTCCCCGCCACAGCGACGCCGCGGGACTTTGATGCTCCTTTCGGTGGGGGCTGGAATCCGTATAACCCTGACTATGTAAAGGGCGCAAACTTGTCCTGGTCGGATATCATTCTCCTGCCGGGGCCGGTTCCGGTCTCCACTCGGCCCGGGACACGGTCCTCCCGCTTCGATGCCGCGGAGAAGAAGCGTCCTCTCGAGGTCACAATTTCCGATGCGAGCATTTTCATGAATCAGCAGGGTTTCCGGCGCGCGGGGCTGTTGTTTGCGAGGGATGCGAATGAGGGGAGTCCCGCGGGGGAGGGAGTGAAGACGATGCATTTTAGTGTGAGGTTGGATTTGGAGAGGCCGTTGAATTTGACGCATGAGTATCTTGTAAGTCCTTCTTTCAGTACCTGTGCTGTAGATGATGTGGACGTCAAACTGTGAGTGCAAGCCTTTGCTGCTGCCGATGCTGATGTATACTCTTTTTGGGAAAATGCAGAATGTCTGGCACGAGACGGCGGCGTATGATGCAAATCAGTTCAATTTCCAGACTGGTACCATTATCGACCAGCCAGGGTTACCAAAGGATTCGTTTAAGCTGCTGGACCGGGATAATAAGCTGATTTGGTCGACGCCGGTTGCGATGGACGGGTCGTGGCAGAACTTTGCGCTCACATTGGACTTTTTAAACAAGTAGGTCTCTCCCAAGGCACTTTGAAGAATCCATGATCAAGTTACCTTGGGTGAATTGCGAAAACAAATCTTGGCTAACAGTCTGCTTCTCAAGTGCAATTCAGATGTGGTACTCTGCAGGTATTGGCCCGCTCACGAAGCAGGGCAGCGCCGTCCCGGTCGACTTAACCGGTGACGGGCAATACCAAGTTGGCATCTTGAAGAAGCCGACGGGAACGGATGACGTGGTGAACTCGGGGTATCAATCTCGTCACCTGAATGAGGGTCTGATTTACGGTGGGATCTTCATTGAAGACAGCGCCGGTGGTTGTGTATCTATCTAAGAGATTGCTCGTCTTTACTTTACCCCAAGTCCAAGGTTGTGAAGCCCATCTCTGTATATCCAAGTCCAAGTATGCACTTCTAAGTCTATACCTCCAAATCTAGACCACCATCTTCATCTCTACATCACACGTTCGTAAACGGACCTCTAAGAATGCTAGAACTCTAAAGCTACCCTTTCTCACCGAGCACTTGGGAGGGTGTGCCCCCCCCCGCCCCTCCAAAGAGGCTTATTCTAGCACATTCACGGCAGTAAAGCTCGCCTTCAACGGAGCAATGCTAATGACGCCATGACGCGAAGCCCACATGTCCTCACCCTCGGGACTCTCCTCAGCTTGCCGTCTAATATCACCAAGCTGCGGCGCCCACCGAAACTGATACCTACGCGACGACGACGACGCCGACATCGCCAACTTTTCAGGATCGACAGCGGCGACGGCAGCAGCAGCAGACTCAAGCACGGGAACAAACAAACCCCCCGTGACCCATCTCCCCTCCGCCGTCCTCGTAACCCTCACCGGCGCCTCACCGACGTCGGCGACCATGGGCACATTGACGCTGTACACCTCCACCTCGGGGTGCCAATCCCTCGCGAGCTCTTGGATGAGCGCGACGGCGCGCACGCACGCTGCGCGGATGGTCGTTTGCGGTTGGCGGTCTTTGCTCCCGAAGCTGAGGGCCACGGCGCGGCGACCGCACTGCGCTGCTTCGAGGGCGCCGCCGACGGTGCCGCTGCTGAGTGCGTAGATTGTGCTCGTGTTGCTGCCGTGGTTGGGGCCGGAGATGACGAGGTCGAAGTCTGTGGGGGAGAGGCCCGGTGTGTGGAAGAGGCCTAGTTGGGTGCAGCTTGCTGGGGGGCCGTTTACGATCAGCCAGCGGTGGGTGCGGTCTTCGGGTCCCTGGACATCGTCACAGCCGGGGACAGTACAGGGTTTACTGCTGGTGTTGATGTCATCTGAAGAGAAGAATGTTGGGCATCTGCTCTCTGCGGTCAGGGTCTTGCCGACTGCGTGGGCCTTTCCGATCCACGAGAGCGGCCTGTCGGGGATGACTACGACGGTTGTGTGGCCCGCCTCGTTCAGGGCGGTGATGAGGGGTGCGAAGTAGGGCGAGACGGGGGACGGGGGTCCGTCGTCGTTGACTACCTACGGACACGGAAGAGAAGAGGCGTACTGATCAGTTTACTTGATGCCGTAATACCGTGTAAGCCAAGGTATAATCAACACGTGTGTGAGTAAACCGGCCAGGGGGAGATGGTAGTAATGGATAAGTTATTTACCAAGAGCCGCATTCTCGCACGTCGGCGATGTCCTAGTGTGTAGAGGTAGAACAAGAGAAGAGATAATAGGAGTGATATGCCGAGGTAGGTCAGGCAGCGATATATTGGCAAGTCTGGCGCCGACGCGTTTTGCTTTCTGGTGGTTTTTGATGGGGGGGTAGAACCGTGGACGGTAGTGGCACCGGTAAGGAGTAGATCCAAGGCAGGCTACCGCCGAGCCGCAGCAGCTGTACAGAATGAATGCAGAAAACAGGGATCAGAGGAAAAAAGAAGGCAACCGAGGAGCCAAGATCAGGCTGCCCGGCTGTGGTTCCGCGGATGGAGGCACCGAAAAGGTGGTGTACAGGAGAGTTTGCGGGACAGACTGTAGCTGGGCGAAGTATGACGCGCGCGCTTCGGTCACTCAAAGGAGGGTGAAGATGAGAAATGGGCTGGGCTGGGTTATAAGAGACAAAACCAAAAGGAGGGGCACAAGAAAGTCCCGATGTAAGGTATGACTCTTCCTCCCACAGGGCTGGTATGTTGTGTCTATGTGGTTGGAGTAAAAAAGGGTCTGTCTTGTATCGTGTCCTGTCATGTGGCACGGTATTGACTTTGTCCGATAAATCTGAGAAGAAGCTACTGATGGTTCCCCCCCCCCCCCCCCCCCCCCCTCCCGGTCCAGTTCCCTTCGTTCCCTTCGTTCCCTTCCTTTCGGCTGACCCCGCCGACCACGGAGCACGGCAGCGCCGTATCGGATGGATCTACGAACGAGATCAAGGTCGAGTGCACGAGAAGGGAGAGTCGAGGTAAATGAGGGTGGGATAATGCCTCCAATGTTCGGATCAAGGCCATTGGAACTTGGCACGCTTGTGTGGACTTTGGGACAAGGCGTCCCGAGTCGGTGGTGCGCCTTGCAGTTTGCCCAACGTGAGCTTCGGCAGGCTCTCTCTCTCTTGGTCCACGACTCCACCACACACTCGCCCTGTCTCTGTAAACTACGCGATGGTGTAGTGGAGAGGAAGTACATTACACCCTCCTCGTGTACTTTACATCCTTCCCTTGTACGAACAAGTACGGATGGAAACCCAACATGGGGGAGAGAGGAAATAAAGTGCCTAAACCATTGGACGAAATGTATGCGAGAGTCAAGAACCGGTGTAAGCCGCCATCTGCCGCCCTATATCGGAGCCCTAGAACCAACTTCCCCGGCGCCATCTTCTGCTGTAACACACCGAAAGGCGTGCACGTTTCCCCTTGCCTAGGGGTTTGGTTGGTCCCTCTAGGTTCCTCTGGGGCTACACTAAGGAAAAGAACCGCGCAGATGTCCGTCCACAGCAGAGACGGAAGCTTTCCTCTCGTCCGTTGGTTCCCACACACCTTTCGTCAACCACATGCCAGCAGACAAACAGACAGACAGAGACTCCCACACACGAATCAACACCCCCAATCAAGCTTAACTGGCCAAGAATGAGAGCGTCGTTCTTGTAACCCAGGCACATATTATGGGATCCCATCCCCCAGCCTGTTCGGGGCACTTCCTCTTCTTGCCACACTCTGGGCAAAACTCTCCCAAAATAAAAGAAAACACAGCCTCTTTTGAAGTAAAGTGGCATTCATCAACAAGTCACCTTGACATTGAAAACTGGTATGGCACACTGGGATAACATCAGGAACAATACCCCATTCACATGGGCCGGGCAATCGGCCGACGACCCCTTCAGCCAGCAACAATGGGCAACAGGCCATGATGGCTCTTCTGCTCAGCCCATCGGTCCCGCCGACCTTCTCAGCACCGACGCCCCTAGGAACGATGAGTTGTTGATCAAGTGAGTTGAACCCTCATAGCCTCCTTTGGCCGAAGGTATAGTCATGGTCTAACACATCTCCAGGGACTTTTACAACGAGCTCCCAGATGATCTTCATCAAGCCGGTCTGTTGTCCACTTGGCCGCCTACTCACGCCCCAGTGGCAGACCAGAACGACCTCCCTTTCGACTTGGTCATTGGCAATGGCATCGATCTCGACGCCGCTAAACCCGTGTCGTCAGAACTGGCCCGGACAAGCAGCCAGGCGAGCTCGTCCGGCGTGGATGAGGAGGAATCTGTCATCTTCAGTCACGCCGGTGACTTCAGTGGTGTTGCGGGGTTCGACGATAGCTTTGGACACGGCTTTGGGGGCATCAACAGCCCAAGCACCACCTTCTCCGACACCATCCTATCTAGGAACCCCTCTCTAGAGAGCAGTCCCATCATTACCAGATGCCCGTATCTCAACATGCAGGCAGAGAGTCCCATTTCCGGGGCTTCATCGGCGACGGCGGCAAATACCCCGCAATCGTCAGTACTCAGCGTCGACGATGCATTGTCCGACATTGGATTTGCTTCTGCGGATACTCCGAGAAGCGTCCCGGGGCCGCACGTCAGCGCTTTGTCGACGGGCCTGGCGAATCAGACTCAATTTTCGGCCAGCTTGAGTCCTACGTCGCCATTCTATGATCGGTGGGATTCTGGTATTGGGGACGGCAGAGCTGACGATTTTGATACTCTCATGTGGGATACTCCGTCGCTTTCCGAGGGATTCATACCATACAACGCAAGCCAACTCGGCCCGTCGTTGGTTGTCGTCCCACCTGATATGCCTGATGTACAGATGGACGACTTTGGCGAATATGCGACCTCCAATGCGCAGTCGATCTCCCAGACACAACACCCTTTCGACTACCTCACGGAACTCTATGCAGCTCCTGTATTGACGCAGCCTCGGAGCGTCCCAAATGCATCAGCGCCGCAGAATCCTGCCGTAGCCCGTGCGAATGGTCTTCTGATCCCAGGTATGATCCCGGGTAGAAGACTCAGGAGACGATCAGACCCGGTACGGATAGACGCTGCCGTCAGAAGACAGGCTGCAAGGCCCCATCCGACCATGAACAGCGCCAATTCCGCATCACAACGCAGAAGCCCCCTTCAACAGAACACAACCCAATTCCTGTCAGTGTCTACTTCTCACTTCCAGAGATTGCGTCCGTCCGAGCCACCAAGGAGGTCAGGAGTGACAGAGCCCATGCCCATCTTGGCCCGCCCAAGAAGGTTGAGCAACAGCAGCAGCAGCAAATCTTCTGAAGCACAAAGCCTCGTGGGCCGGCCCAGTCGTTCAGGTCCGGCTCGCGGACGCCGACACGGCCCAATGGACCCCGTCTCTCGCGGGCAAGCCAAGGAGACGCGGAACAAGAAGATGGTTTGCATTCGCTGCAAGCACTCGAAGCAAAAGGTCAGCACCTGTCACCAGCAGTCTATGCCATCTTTATACTGACTTGCATCCAGTGCAATAGAAGCGACGATTCTCCTCAGGGCTCTTGTACCGGGTGCGACAAACATGGCGGCTCTCAAAGATGGCCAGGGCCCTGTGTCAGAGCCCATTTCGAGGACCTCATTCATGCGGGAACCTGCAACTACATCTGTAAGTCATCGTCACAGCCCGCCAATGCCTCTATTCCCCCAAGACTAATTCCAAGCCAGCCCAGCACGCCATCTATCATCCGACCCTCGACAATAAGACCCGCATCCGCAGAGAACTCCCCAGACAAATCCAAATCGACAACCTCATCCACAGGGTCAACCGCGCGCGAGGCCAGTTCAACTTCCGCGTCCACCAAGACGGCCGCCCCATCTACGTCCTCGACCTCGACGCGTGCCACGAGTACCTCCAAGGTCTCAGACAGCAAATAGACGACAGCGAGTACAGCTTTCAGTCCTTCATCGACCAAGAAATACTGCGCGTCGACCCAAAGACAGACAATTGGGAGCGCTGCATGACCCAGCTGACGACCTCGCGAGATGACACCCTCGCCCTCCTCTGCCTCGTTAACAACATGCCCAGCCGCGCGGGCTTCTCCTACGTCTCCAAGCGGCAGTATAACTCCATGGGCACACCTATGGAGCAATTCCTGAACGCAGAGAACCCGCTCGAGGCGGAAAACCTCGTCCTCGCGGCCCAGCTCTCGAAAATCATCTGCCGCAAGCTAGAGGTCAAGGCCTACGGGAACCTCCAGCGCCTCCTACACGAGTCGGGAAACATGGACGACGACAAGGTTCTCCCATTTCTACAGAGACTCGGCCGTATTCTCCTCACGCTGCGCTGGCGGCTATCCTGGTGGGCCGTGGTCCCCGGTGACGCTGCCGCCGCCACGTACGACCAGACGGACGACGAGGTGAGGAAGCAGGCTGTTCACGCGCGGGTGCAGTCGCTGTGTCGGATTCTCTACTTTTACTACTGCTGCGTGCGGAGGCGGTTGCCGGTGTGGACCAACGTTGATGCGCTGAGGGGCATCCAGTCGCGGTACCCGGACACCGAGGCTGAGATTTGGGATGATTTTCCTGGGAATGAGAATCTTGAGGGGTTCGAGGCGTGGATGAAGCGAGGGATGGAGCTTATTCAAGACGCTGGGGTTTTGAATCGATTGCGCGCGATGGGGTTGACTGCGTGAGAGGGTGCGAAGTTTGACTTCCTTTTCTTGTGGGCGGTATGCATTTCTTTCTTGTTTGTTTTGGAATTTGGCTTTTTCGTCTTGATGTTCGGTTTTTTTTTTGGTCTTGATTATTCTCATTTCAGGGACGCAGGCGTTGGAGGGTATTTGATACAAATTCAGGACAGGGGAAACAGTACACTCGCTGGCACATGCTGTTTGAGATTTAAGTTCAGGCGTTTATGTTTGGGACTATATGAGATACCATAGAGGAACGGCGTGGCTGAGAGGCTTGCAAGCGTCTGTCGTTTCTAGACAATCAAATACTTGATTTATTGTAATGCCTGAATTGTTTATTGGGAGCAATGTCCTTCTTGGAGCGTGACACTATTGTGAGAAAAGTCTGGACACTTTGACGGTACGCTCACCCGTTTGAAGGGCTGATACCAATCAATGCCTTTGAAGGTTTGAAGTCTCAGTATAACCATCCAACTCCAACATGTCTTCCCAGCTCTTTGCGCTTCTTTGTTTGCCTACCAGACTGTCTTGAGAATGTTAGACTGCATTC